AAGTCAAAACATGTCATTCCTCTGCTCAAAACCTCCAAAGATTCCCTGTTCATTTCAGTCAACTTCTTACACTGACCCTACAAAGCCCCACGCGAGTGGACCCCCGATGACCTATTTGACCTCATTCCCCACCTGCACTCTCTGGCTCACTCTGATCCAGCCACAACAGGCACTGCACTGTCCCTGACCTATGCACTGGCTAGTCCCCAGGGGCTCCTCCTACATGTCCCCTTCATCAAGTGTTCAAATATTACCTCCTCTGCGAGGCCTACTCTGACCAACCTATTTAATATATAACGCTACCTTCATACTGGCATGTCCAATATCTATACTTTCTTTTCCATATCATTTATCAACTGATACCATAATATATAACTTATGTATAGTACCTATCATGTATTTTCTCTATCTCTCCTAGAAAAAAAAGGCCCACTTTTTCTATTTTGCTCACAGCTATACTCTCAGAACTTATCAAAGTGTCTGGCACATAGTAGCTGCTCAACAAATATTTGTTGAATAGAAGAATGAGTAAATAAAAATCCTAATATTTCCTGCCAAGTTGAACACATGCTAGTTAAGGGAATGGAAGTTCACTTAACGGACATGTGCTTTGGCTGAGTGAAGTGGAAAAATCATATATTGAAAAGACATTGAGTAGATATTAGTCAGCTTAAGATCAAGTGTACCCCTGACCTGTTTGGCTCAGTCAGCTCGTGGACCAGAGAGTCCTGGGTTCGGTTCCTGCTAAGGGCATGTACCACAGTTGCAGTTTGTCCCCAGCCCAGATTGGGGTCATGTGGGTGGCAACCACTCGATGTGTCTCTCTCACATGGATATTTCTCTCTCCCTCTTCCTCCCTCTCTCCCTCCCACTCTATCTGAAGATAAATGCAAAAATGTCCTCAGGTAAGGATTTTTTAAAAAGCATCAAATGTAAAATACTCTCAGGATCAAAGTGAGCCCTGGTCAAACCATGTCCAGAACTGGCTTCCACACTGTTGATTTGCCAGTCAGCACAGAATCACGTGCATGTGCCAAGCCTTGAGCTAAGATAGATTTGTAAAAATGTCACATCAAATATAAATCCTATGGCATCCCTTAGACTCGATAGTGTAGCTTTTTAAGTGATAATTATAATAACATTTTACTTTAACAATGGCTAGAGTATCAGGACAGTCAGCATGTCTTCCAATTCCTGTTCCTAGATCTTGACTTCGACAACTTGGTACATTGCAGCGTCTATTATGTCCTGTGAATTGCACCTTGGAACCGTGTCTCACGTTTCTCTCCTCCCCCTGCCGTTACTCTGTCCTGGGCCAGCACATATTCTTCTGAGTCAGCGTAACACCCTTCCTAGTCATCTCCTGTCACAAACTCACTATCCCTTCTAAACTACGTCCTTCTCTGCCATTTTCTTTCTAAGATAAAATGAGGTAATAACACTCCTCTGCACAAAATATTTTAATAACACCCCAAGATCCTTATGATCTGGCTTTATCTCTTTCCACTTCACTCCCTCCACATCTTTCACCCCAACAAACAGTGCAGTGTTAAAATTGCCTGTAACCATGGTCCAAGCCTGTGAATGCTCTTGGGGAAACTATGATTCTATAATCAAGATGAAACTTGAGTCCATCCGTAGTCATCTTACGTGAATGGGTAATGCAAGAGAAAGTAAAGCCTCGACCAAGTAGTCATATTCTGTCACGTGTGGTCAGCAGGCACCTGGAAAAGGAGCGGGGAAGCCATGGTTGCCACCGATGTTCCTTTTCTGTTCTGATGTCAGGTGTGGCTATATTTGGATAAGAGAGGGGTGAGGAAGAGAAGGCAGTGAGCTGCTGTCAGAGAGCTGGCGGGAAAAGGAGGAAAAGTTGCAAGTCAGCTGAGAACCACTTGTCACTACTTTGAATGATGTCCTGACTGGGGGACACGGCCCCTCTCATGACTTACAGAAGCTAGGGTGAAATCACATGCTCCTCCGACGTGACTGCTGACATAGTGTGGTACAGATGACTCTGTGAAGTCATGAGATGAGCCACACATGATGTTTATAGCTTCACGATTTGTAAATGGTGTAAACATAAGAAAAAAAATCAAATTTATTTCATTTTCAAACCTTGGATAAAACGCTAAAATAACTTTTCTGAGATATAAGAGGGCATGAGTAAACTTTCCAGTAAATCCTCACTAAATCAGATAGGTTGGCATCTTTCTATCTGTATCAGTCCATCAGAGGCCAGAACGGTTCCATTTCACTATTAACAAGAGTTCGCATGATAAGCTTTAAAAAACACATAACACCAATTTGCAATCTGGAGCATATATTTCTTTTTATTTTTTTAAATTTTTTTCTTTTACTTATTGATATTAGAGGGGGGAGAGAGAGATAGAAACATCAATGAGAGAGAACATCGACTGGCCGCCTCCTGCATGCCCCCCACTGGGGATCGGGCTCACAGCTTAGGCATGTGCCCTGACCAGGAATCAAACAGGTAGCCTCTTGGTGCATGGATCGATGCTCAACCACTGAGCCACACTGGTCGGGCTGGAGCATACATTTTTACAGAGAGAGAATACTAAGCACTCAATTACTATTTCATGAGAATCTTCTCCCTACTAGATGCTATACTGAGTACTAAAGATCTTTCTTCTACTTAACTTACCTGCTGCTTTAAAACATGCCTGCCCCACCTCTATGACTCTACCATCTCATCTCATAATTCCAATAAACCTGTTTCAGTTTATTGAGGTTATAGAGTTGATATTTTAAAAAACAGTGATAGAGCCCGGCTGATGTGGCTCAGTGGTTAAGCATCAAACCATGCACCAAGAGGTTGCCGGTTCAATTCCAGGTCAGGACACATACCCAGGTTGTGGGCCTGATCCCCAGTGGGGAGCATGCAGGAGGCGGCCAGTCGATGTTCTCTCTCATCAATGTTTCTATCTCTCCCTCTCTCTCATTTCCTCTCTCTCTCAAATCAATAAAAATTTTTTGAAAAAATTGTGAGAGTTCTTCTTGAAACTCTGACATTCAGTTTAGAGTTGACTACCCCACGTCATGCATACAGTACTTAATCATTCATTCGAGGAATTTTCCATAGTGCTCTTTTGCAACACCGAGGCAGTGCCAGCTCTACTCTCCAGGGTCCTGAGCTCTGGTCAACAAAACTAAGATCCATTAATCTGACAACACTGGTCATCCGCACAGAAGGGAATGCAAGGGGCCATTTCCTTGAGGAGAAATGGTCACACAGGAATTTAGCTGTATTTATGTTGTTTAAATGTGTGACAACGGTAATGTGTTTGTGAATTATTACTATTTGTTAAATACATTTAAAACAACAAAAAAACTGTCACAGAAAAAAAAAGAGTGCTTTTGACTATTTCCCAATTCATATACACTAAATATTGAATCTAATCTTAAAAGTAAATGCGGCCCTGGCCGGTTTGGCTCAGCGGTTAGAGCGTCGGCCTGCGGTCCAGAGAGACCCGGGTTCGGTTCCCGCTAAGGGCATGTACCTCGGTTGCAGTTTGTCCCCGGCCCTGGTTGGTTGTGCAGGTGGCAGCCACTCGATGTGTCCCTTTCGCATCGATGTTTCTCTCTCTCTATATTCCTCTCTCTCCCTCCTGCTCTACCTGAACAAAAATAAAAAAGGAAAAATGTCCTCGGGTGAGGATAAAAAAAAAAGTAAATGAAATTTTGCCCGTATCTTTAGGAGAATGAGGAGGTGGGAAGGATAAGATACTGAAGAAATAGTTTCCTTTTCTTTAGCAAGACACAAAACTAGTGATCAAGTGACTAATCGCACAAGTCAAATGAAGCGTCGAGTGGTCCACGGGCACAGAGGTGTCGGGCCAGGCCTCTCGAGGGAGACGAGCACTGGAGTGAAGGGTTCTGCCCTGCCTTCCCCTCTCCCCTGGATGCTGGCTGGTGGGCTGTGAGCAATGGGCCCGGCCAGCAGAGTTGCCTTCTTCTCTATTCCACGACAGAATCCTCGGCTAAGCTTAGAAGACCTGTTCACCAGGACAGTGAGCTGGAGAAGTGGAGGTGCCTCATAGGCTGGGGCAAAAAGAAAAAGAATTTAAGTCCAGCCGGTGTGGCTCAGTGGTTGAGCATCAACCTGTGCACCAAGAGGTTGCTGGTTTGATTGCCGGTCAGGGCACATGCCCAGGTTGTAGGCCCAGTCCCCAGTGGGGGGCCTGCAGGAGGCGGCCAAATGATGTTCTCTCTCCTCAGTGTTTCTATCTCTCTCTCCCTCTCCCTTCCTCCCTCTCTAAAATCAATAAAGGAAAAAATGTAAAAAAAAGAAAAGAACTCAAAATTAGACCATCATTCAGGATATCTGGAGCCGTGGAAGTTTAGAAAAAGTGGGTCAAAACACCAAGAAGACAGCCGTAAGATGCAAGGAGATCAAAGGATTGTTTGAACGACTCTCTGGAGCAGAGCAAACCTCCTGTGGGCCCGCTCGGGCCTGGCTTCCTGAGCCTGCTGGCCCAGGGCTGAGCCTCAGGGAGCATCAGCAATGTACCAGGAAGAAAAGTCATGCAGCAAAGAGAAATCATGACTCTCATACAGACGTAGAGATGGCCTCAGCGTTCTCTGAGGAGAGAGCTCTTGGCACATGATAGGCACTTAATGATATGTGCTGGTGAGCGAGTTGACGTGCAGAAGCCAGATCCGTGAGCCTACATGGGGCAGCACTGTGTGAAATGGTGTTAGAGCAAAAGGTCCGAGTGGCCCTGTTACAGAGGCCTTGAAAACCACGTGAGGAAGTTTGGTCGAGATGTGGTAAGAAGGGCTTATATTAAATTAGCTAAAAACATCCTTTTTACCACACTGTCCTCAAAGACAAGCCAGATGTAAATGCATAGCTCAGACCAAAAGGTCACAAATAATTAAAAAGAACAGCAAACATCAAACGTCTGTGGTCTTATTATAATTTTATATATGGATGTATATATAATTAGTGTAGAACGTAAATTGTTCTCTCTTACTTTTAGCTCCATGGAATAACATTTCTAACGAGAAACTATTGTCTGACAGAACTGTATCTAAACAACAACGCAATCATTGATATAAAAGGTATGCCCAAATGTTCTCTGTTGACTGGATGAATTTCCAATTTTCATAGTTAAAATAACTTTTAACTATGCCATTGCTAATGGCATGCAAAAATCTGTTGTAACTGTTAAGTTCCTGTTGAAATAGGTGGTGGAATCTATTATTTTTCAATGTTCTTCTGTACATTTCATTTTACGAAATGTGCTTTTGATTACAGTTTTAATGCCATCTTGTCTTGTGTTTCGACATTCAAAAAGTAAACAAATCTTTTTTTGACAGAAATTTTGCCATTCTGTTGTACAGTTGGACACAAACTAGATACCGTGGAAGCAAATTTTAACAATATTTGGGATCATTCATAAATATAACAACTTTATATCCTTAATATTTTTACTGGCTATACTTTTTACCAGTCAAATTCTTTCACTATGGATTAATTTTATATGTGCAACAATTTCTAAACTGACTATTTCAAACCAGGTATAAAAGTACATAACGTACTATAATCATGAAATATGAAGAGATATAACACAAAATGTTTTTCTTTAATATTATATATCATAGGATCAAAATGTCATACATTTTAAGATCTACCATGATTTCATGTACCATGAAGAAAGACATTTTTGCCAATTAAACTATGATGTGCTATCACAAATAAACAACCCATTTTCACTTATGTTAAAAATGTGGGAAATTTTTAAAATTTAGAATCCACAAAAATGATATGAATATTTGTTTTGTATGGTGTAAAGAAAATAATTATTTTAGTTATGCAAATGTTCTAATTTAATATTTTTTTATTATTGACACTATTACAGATGTCCCATTTTTCTCCTTACTCCCCTCTACCCTGTCCCCAACCCCCCTTCCTTCTGGCCATCACCACACTGTTGTCTGTGTCCATGGGTTATGCATCTGTGTTCTTTGGCTAATTCCTTCACCTTTGTGGGGGAGGTATTGAACTGAATGAGTAATTAGTCCCTTGATTGGCATTATAAATCTAAATAACATCAGCAAAATAGAAGAAAAGAAAATACCCCTTCTAAAATCAAACCAAAAAATCATTGCTGCAGAAAAAAACGCTGTAAAACAAGAACTCTGAAAAGAAATTGAGTTTACATTCCCACATTGTACTCAATTACATTCTGATGCTTTGTTCTATTCTTAATGATAATTCACAATATTATTGGTAATAATTCTTCCTCTCACCAGCTGAACTGTATTGTTTGCTTTTGTTTCGTGTGTTCAATGCACATTAAAAATGTTTAAAATCTTGTGGAAATGTGTTTCAGGCCTGCACTCTCTGCCTTCGCTGCACATACTCCTGCTGCACCACAACGAGCTAACGGACATCAGTGCAACCGTGAAGGAGTTAAAGGGAATGCTGAATCTGAAGACCCTAAGTATTGATTTGCATTTTTATATGGCCATATGTCAAAATAGTAAAACACAGGACTTTAGTTTTCTCATTTAAATTAGGTCAATAACTAAAATACTTAGATATTCCTGAAAACAAGCCTAGACCTGTTCCTTTAAAAAAAATATGTTTGGGAAAGAGCAACAGGTAGGAAAAATTTTTTTGTGAAATGATAGGACATGCCAAACGGAAGTGACAGAAGATGACTTCCATGTTTTAATCTGTGGTTTGGGTTTTTCTTCAGAAGTGAGCTCTAGCTCAGATTATACGACTCCATTTATGTGACGTGTCCAGAAAGAACCCATCCAGCAAGAGAGCAACACTGAGAGGGACCTCTTTTTAAATAGGTCACTGTTTTCCCAGGGCTGGGGGACAAGGGAGCCGGGGAGTGACAGCTAAAGAACAAGGGGTGTGGGTTTCTTTTTGGGGTGATAAAAATGCTTTCAAATTGGCTGTGGTGATGGTTGCCCAACTCTGTGAGTATACTGGAAGACACGAATTATGTATACTTAAGATTGATGAATCCTGTGGTAGGTGACACATTATATTAATGAAGCTGACACCAAAAAAAAGTAAATTTTTATTTAAGCTTTTAACTGGGTGAACACCAAACTTCATTCGTGAATCACACCCAGCAAGAAACTGGCCTCAGTATTGGAAGGAAGCATGAGATAGGTTGGAAAAATGAATAATGCACGGTTTCTACTCTCAGTAAGCCTATAATACTGAAGGGTAAATAAACCCATTCGCAATCGCTATACCAGCCAAATGGTTCCAGGTGTTCTAAGGGAAACGATGATCGAATCAATGAATGGGTTTTTAAACGTTAGAGTTTGGAAACATCTTTGTATAATGTCATGAAATGGATGTGGGTTTTTTTCCCCTATTCATTTCTCCAAATACCCTGAGACAGTGTTTTGAATATGAGTAAATTGGTGTTGATGGTGGAGGTTCTAATCAGATCAATACATTGATAGTGATTAAAGTTTTCCTATGTTTTCAGTGTTAATCAATTACATGTACTGTATTTCGGAGAAATGATTCATGTGATTATAAGTGAATTCTTTAAACCCAAATGTTAGTATTGCAACAAGTTCATGGCAATTTCATGCTTATTTTTGAGATGTGATAAGGTCTGTGAAAGACTGAGAATTTGCCTGCATGTTTCAATTATCTGTCCCTTGTGTGCTGAACAGATGCTTTTAAGATTAAAACACTGGTTATGCCGGATCCAGAGTTCTCACACATCTTCAATTTTCTATAAAATGGGCTAATAGCTACTTCTCAGGATTGCTTGAAATATTAAGCTATTTCTGTAAAACATTTTTTAAAAAAGCATTTTTGATACTAATGCAATTTTGAAATAGTAACAAAAACAAAAATTGCTTTATTGTGGATTTGTAAATTTTATAATGAATTAAGACGCGCAGTCTAGAAATTCTGCTAAATAGTAAATAGATTAAAAATATAACTGACATTATAAATAGTAATTATTATAATACATATTTCAATGTCTTTCCTGTTGAGAAAATGCTTTCTTAAAATATTATCATTTAAATCTTCACAGCAATCCTATGACATGATTAGAATTATTGCCTCAGAGCTTTAACCAAACTACTAAGAGATGCTGAAACTTATAGTTATGCCTTCTTTCTTTTTTGTTTTGTTTTGGGTTTTTTTGGTTGATCCTCACCCAAGGATATTTTTTCTCCATTAATTTTCAGAGACAGTGGAAAGGAAGGGGGAGAGAGAGAGAGAGAAACATCAATGTGAGAGAGACATTGATCGGTTGCCTCCTGCATGACCCCCAATCAGGGCTGGGGATCAAACCTGCAACCCAGGTACTTGCCCTAGACTGGAATAAAACCTGAGACGCTTTGGTTCCTGGGCTGACACTCTAACCACTGAGCCAAAACGGCCAGGGCTGCCTCATTTCTTTTAGTTATCATTCATTCATTCATTCATTCATTCATTCATTCAACAAATAAGTATCATGTGTTCACTATGTGACACTCTACTAGATGAGAACACAAGAATGAACAGAAAAGACCCTGTCTTTTTTATGGAGCTACAGTTTTATAACTCTCAGGCTAAACATTTCTTACAGTTGAAAGGGCTTGATTCGAAACTAATTAAAGAATTGGCTAAATGTAAGAACTCAATTTAAGCTAACTTATTTTAAAATACAAAATTTGGCGGTTAGCTGTCGGGTGTGTGAGAACACAGGATTGGTCAGCGTGAGCGCCCTGCAGAAGTGTCTTTTTCCAGCCTGGTAGTATAATGTCCGTATACTACTACCCGTAACACAGTTGAACTGACCTCGATGTAAACGCATAGTGATGTAATTCAAGTTATATAACTACTGTTTTCTAACTGAGACTCTGGTAGTGGGATCATACTTTGAAATGGAGAAAATGCTGTGTCCAGTTACCCCCAAAAAAGGCCTTTTTGAAAAATTTTGGTAGCAAGTATGCACATTTTGAACCTTTGCCCTATTTTCGTTAAATAAATTATCTGGGGGAAAATGTTTGCATTTGCTAAACTACTTGCTGTATTTGTGCAGTAAAGTGCTCAGATTAAGTTTCTAGGAGCCTCATTTGCAATCACAGATTAGATTCAGCTCATTAGCTATAAGAAGTTCCTGTATTTTGAAATATTAAAATATTGGTCTTTTCGAGTTGTAAAACCATATAAAATGCTAAAGTGTTATTATTATTCCACTTCAGTGGCAAGTTCTTCAGAGGGTGAGAGAATGGCCTGGAGGTGGCCCTCTAATCCATTCCAGCAAGCACCCCCAGCGGCATTGTGAGAACTTCCAGAGAGTGCCCAGGGGATGGAGCTTCGGGGCCTGAGCCCAGCTGCAGAGTGTGAGGTCCTGGGAAGTTCTGACTTCCCGCTGAGTCAGGAGGGCCCCACCTCTGCTCTGCAGGCGGTCCACCTCCCCACACCCTCCTCCGCTCCTCTCTTCTCTTCCCTTCCCACCTCCAGACTCTTTCTAAACCAGGGTCCACATGTGTCAACGACACACTTCCTGGCTGAGGACGTTCACTAACCTGCCGTCCCCCGGACGCTTTCCCAGCACAGAGGGAACAAAACACCAACAGCAGCGAAACACTTACACTTTCCTGCTCCTAAACTTTTAGTCTCCACGTGTCTCAAATTCTCTGTTTCTTTAGCTTCACTGTTGGAAAGTACATACTTAGATGCCTCCGTGCCATAATTTTTTGGACTTTCCTCTTAGCAGAGCTGTAAGGATTCGCCCCTGGAGACGGGGTGCCCTGTCCAGAGGGGGTCTTCATTTCCTGCAGGTTCTGCTCTCAGACACTGCCTACCCTTCCTCACTGGGTGCATAGGGCCAACAACCAGGGAGGGAGCAGGGGTGCCGAGAGACCAGGTGAGGCCACCATCTCAGGGGACTCTTCCTTTGAGCCTTTTTATCTGCAATGTCCCTCAAGGTGGGACCACCCCTCCCAAACAACAAACAGAACAGTCCCCCAGTAAGAAGAGCCAGCGGGGTCTTCCCTGCTGTTTGTCCTGAAGAAGAGAATATGCTGACCCCTCCGCTCTGTGCATCCCCTGCTTTGGTGGCGTGCGGTGGCCCACAGATTTTAGTTAAAATAAGCTGGTGATAATCGTGGAGATGCTGACCTTACTAAGTACCTTGAGCCAGAATCGGGAAATCTTAGTGTCTGATTGTTGACATCTGGACGTCCTTCCACGGGCTGTTCACACTAGAACTGCCTCTAGCTTCTCTGTATCATTTTCCCCACGTATCCAAATGGATCTGTTGGTATGTTATTAATTACGTCAACTTTCTTCAAAGGTGGTCTTAAAAACATCCGGGCTCACTTAAATTATGACTTTAAATTCTGCTTTAAAAGTTTAAACAGACTAACTGAAGCCAATTAATTAGAAGACTGTATTTTTTTCTCTCTCTGTTTCAATAAGTAGAGTCACACATGTGACTCATGTAACTCAAGGGTGTGCAGTACGGTAGTAGAAACATTTTGATATATTGTTGGGTGAATGTAAATTGCTTAGACTCAGAATCCCAAATTAAGATAAGCAAGACAGTGCTGGCGCCACTGAGGTGTACTCTATAAATGTAGCCTAGAGGGAAGGTGGATTAAATAGCATTAACCTATTGAAAGTGAAAGTGTAAGCAGTTTTGCCTCATACCTTCTGAAGGAATGTACCCCATACATCACAGAAGGCTCTCAGAACTTTCAGACACAGGAAACCGGTTTCATATCTTAGAAACTTAATTTATGGTAATTTTAGTAGCATCATTCCAAAACTCATAAATCCCAAATGTGAAATGCTTAATAGTATAGAAGGAGAAAAAAAGACAGTTAAAAGTAAGATTGCTTCCTTCTAAAATTTAAGAGCGAAGGAAGAAAAGTGAAGAATAATGAAGATGAAATGCCTTTCAAATTATTTAATTGTGTTTATTTTTTAAAGTTAATTTAGGCAGAGACTGGGTTTAATAGCAGAGTTCTCAGACTTGCTGTCAGGATTTTACTTGACGATGAGATGGCTGCTGAACCATAATAAGTACATCGGATTTTGAGTATTGAGACATCTTCTTAATAACTAATGTAATAGCAGTAAATCCAAAGCTGAAGCCCGAAGTTTATTTTTTTAATTTACATAAAGATGTCACGTAACTAAGCACGAGGAGAAAAAGCCAAGAGAGGACATGAAACAGTAATGTTCTCAGAGGGCAAGGGAATATGAAGGGAATACAGGCAGTGATGTGGCTGGAAGCTGTCGGTACATTTTCCATGAACATCCCATGCAATGGAAGATGAGCATGCTCCTAGCTGCTATAATGAATGATAGGATTATGAGGTGTCCGATGTGATTCTCCAAGAGAGTAACCAGGGCAGACTTCTGCTCTAAAGAAGATGTGACTTTTTCTCCCTCCTAAACTCTCATTAAAAACCATTGTGTTTTGCTTTTATATCCTTGAAGAGTGTCCTTTTCTCTTCTCTTCCCTTTCAGACTACAATGCATGATCCCTGTGGATCTTTTAAAATCTGTCCTTATGACTGGTTTAATATATGTGCATTCTATTCCCTGTCCTGTAGCTATAATTATTTGTTACCATGTTAAATTCCTTCTCTTTTAAGATTAAAATTCAAACCGGTTTGCCTTCACTTAAGAAATATTGAGAAATATCCATTTCATTCTTCCTCTTATTAACCCCCAAATACATACACATTTTCCTTTCTTTTAAAATTATGTTGTTGCTCCTGGCTCTACATGTTCCTTTATGCCTTTCCTTAGTCTTAAAACATTTTTAGGATGCACTGGGTGTCTTCCACTGTCTGCTTTAAATTCCTCTAAAACTCAAGTTTTCCACAGGGAATGATTATATATAATGATTGTGTTAGCCATAAAAGTTTGTGTTTATACAACAAATATTAAAACATTTTATAAACTGCAGAGAAAACATCCAGATGATTAACTTTTTCTGTTTTTAATCCAAATAGTGTGTTGTCTTTTAAGCATGCCACCCCCATTTTTAGGTTACAAACTGTTCTTTATAAATGTTAATCAGGTTTTTTTGGATTTCTAATGTTTAATATTTTCATGATCTTATCAAGCCTGCTTGTATTAAAGCTACAAGCAGTACTGCTCAATTTAACGTGTACAATGAAAGAGCCTCATTGTAAAAGTGTAGTTGTACAATAGCTGGAGCTCTTTCTGCTACTGCCATCTAGTGGTCCTCACTAGATGTATCTTCCCGAAGTATTTTTGAGAAATGCCATGTAGGCAGAATCCAGTAGCTAAAGATATCCAACTGGAAATCCTAAAAGTTTTTCTTCACATTATATTGGAAAAAAAAAACCTGTTTAAGAAGAAGAAGGAAAATACTTTACCTTTTCCATGAAAATTAAACCGACAGAACTTTCTATTTGAAGATTTTTTTAAATGTTCCAGATGCTGATGCCTAAGGAATGTGAAGTGCCAGGAGCTCTTCTACACCCACATGCCTCCCACCTCCAGCCACTGTATTAGCCAGGATGGTTCACTGAGTACCTAGCACCTGTGCACAGGAACTCTGAGTGCCCTGCACCTGGCCAGAGGTACATAAGAGGCAACATCCACCCTTGCTCAGCTCTGCTTCTGCTGAGATCTGAAGTTGCTACTGGCATGTACATATTCTGAGCTATGCTCAGTGGTATGAAGTGGAGAAAGAACACTCTTAGAACAGAACATCTCTGCCCATCTCTACCCATCTCTACACAGGCATCCTTGTGACCTTTGAGACTGGAAGACGAGAACCAAGTGAACAAATACTTTGATAAAGAACTTCATCAAGACCCCTATAGAGTTAATAGCTAGTTCTTTCTTACTAGTTAACTTGTGGACATGTTAAAAATTTACTCATTTGTGGCAGATTTTGGTCAATGATATGTCCCCAGCACCTAGCACAGTTCCTAGTAGACAGCAATAACCCCAAATATTTGTTGAATGAATGAATTTAACAGGTAGGAAAAGTAAGTGCTGCTCTGAGTAAGGGTTTGCTGAGGCTGTTGGTTTGGTCCGTGAAGCAAACTTTTACATGTCCTTACGTTTTATGTTAATCCTGAAATTTTTCTTATTTTATCAAATGATAAATGAAACTAATTTTGAAATCTGATATCTTTGCAGGTCTCTACCAAAACCCTTTTTGCCAATATAACCTGTATCGTTTATATATAATCTACCATCTTCCAGGAGTAGAGTTGCTTGACCGAAATCGTAAGAACACCTTTTTCTTGCAGAGAAATACTTGAGAGGCAGTTTTATAATTCAGTGGTTTTAAAAATGTTGAATATCTTTGAAAATAATTTTCTGTGTAAATGAAAGTTTTAAAATTATTATTGAAAGTTGTGCTCTATGCAATTTGCCCTACTTTAGGAATTTATGCCTCTTGATCACTGTCTTGGAAAGGTCACCCCAGTGTGAGAACAGGTCTCCAGATTCTAAGTTAGACACTAATGTGTAAAATGCCAAATCATTTACCCCCTGGTACCTTGGTTTCTTATTTCAAAAATGAGAGAATCAGACTAAATCTCTTAAGGACTGTTTAAGTTCCAAAATGCATATACTTTGAAATTCTGTAAATATACATATATTAAAATATATATAATTAATGATAACTTCTTTCTGAATATATCTTAGACATTGCAGATAAACTAGTATATCTGATTTATATATGCTGCCAAAACAATCAGTGAATTAAATTTTACATTTTTGGAGGCCTGATTTATTACCTATCTACCTACCTTTCTATCTGTAGGTCCAAACAGTCTTAATAATCACTGAGTACCTTCTTAATGAGGATATATCAAAACCTGTGCTTATGCCTTCTCTTCCTCACAGCCTTGAAGAAATGAGGCATGTATCACAGTGGGATTTCAGTCACCCATGGTGATGTGTTAGGAAGGGCCTGGGGCATTAGGATTCATTGGTGCCTGTGACCCGCGGGGCATGTATTGGGCACTTGTAAGGTTATTGGAATAACTGTGATAGCCCTTCCCAAATGAGTTTTGACAGGATGTTCACTTATACCATAATTCAGATAAATATCTTTTTGAAGGTGTCCCCATCTGTCTTGAAGTACTCTGCATGTCTGTTTATAATGCTATGCCATCACATTACTTTTTGTATTTATCAGAAGTTACAGAAAAGGAAAGAAGATCAATGATTACCATTTTTAACCATAAAAAGGCTCATGTTGTTCACTCAATAGCATTCGGAGAAAAAGTAGATGCCTCGTGGAATCCTAGGTCGCCATTTAAGCAAAAGCCAGCCCACAGAGTACCTCCAGGTAGTTTGGAAAAAGAAAAAAAAATGAAATCACAATTTCTCAAACTTTTGGGTAATTTGATAATAATAATAACTGCAAGTTACAATAAGCTAAGTACTTACATAGTGAAATAAATATTTTCTAATTTAACTAGTCAAATTAAAGTGATATGCAATTCTTGTCTTCATTTACATATATTAAATTCGATGAAGTAATATGATAAAAATGAGATATTACATTGAAGTCCTTACCCCAGCATCCAGCATAGTAAAAAAGAACCAGAAAGTAAGCTACAGTTGTTATTATACCACTATTTTTAGACATTTTTATCAATTAAAGCTATCAAATTATAATATAGAAAACATATTCAGAAGAAATAAAGATCGTCTGCAATTTCTCTACCCAGAAATAAGCACTGTTGATATTTTTGTCACTATATGCAAGTATATGTTGAATATATTTAGACATTTTATTAATTGGGATGATATTTCTTGTATGTAACAAAAATCCAACTACAGTGACTTACACAAATAGAGGTGTATGTTTCTCATACAGTAAAGAAGCACAGAGGTAGGGGCCCAGGGTTAGTGTCAAGTTCAGTGATGTCATTAGTGTTCAAGAATATACCTCTCTTTTGTTCTGCTATTCTTAGTGTGTTTTGTAGTTATAAGTGGCTGCTGCACCATCAGGCATCACAAAGAGGGATTAGAATACATATAGAAACAAAAGACTTTCTCATGACCCACTGCAAACATACATTTGAAAATGAAAACACATTCTAGAAAAGAGTTTCTAGAAACAAAAGGAAAAATATTGAATTGGAAAATAGTTTTGAGGAAATTACCCATAATACAGCATAGAGAAAGAAAGATATAGAAAATACTAATTAGCTGTTGAGATAAGTAGATATTAGAAAGATAAGGTTCAATATACATTTAGTAGTCATGAAGGGAAAAAAAGTAGAAAAATTGGACAGAAGATAATGTTTGAAGTAATAATGGTTGGGAATTGTCCAAATTTGGTAAATGATATAAATCCTTCAAATTCATCAGACAAAATTAATCCAAAGACATAAAAGACTGATAACAAAAATCCACACCAAAGACAAAATAATCTTAAAATAAAAAATGTAAATTTACCCACAAAAGAATAATTTATAGATTCACAACAAACTTCCCAACTACAATTGGGGAAGTCAGAAAACAGTGATCTAATACCTTTCAAATACTAAGGCAAAGTAATAGTCAACCAAGAATTTAACAACCAGCTAGATTATTATTTCAGACAGAGCAAGAGAAAAATAAATGAGGACAGCCCTGGCCGGTTTGGCTCAGCAGTTAGAGCGTCGGCCGCAGACCAGAGAGTCCCAGGTTTGGTTCCTGCTAAGGGCACATACCTCGATTGCAGTTTGTCCCCAGCCCCAGTTGGGGTTCTGTGGGTGGTCAATGTTTCTCTCTCTCTCCCTCTTGTTCTGTCTGAAGATAAATGCAAAAATGTCCTTGGGTGAGGATTAAAAAAAAGGAAGAAATAAGGACAATATCAGGAGTTTTTTCTTAACTATTTATTGTGAAATTTTTCTAATATAGAAAAAGTTGAAAGAATATTAAGTATATATGCCCATGCATATTCAATAATAACATATTCTGCCATATTCACCACCCTCCATTAGAGTTTGACTTATGTAAACTGGGAAATATAAAAGTATTGCTGAACCATTCAAATACTTCAGTAGCAGACATTATGACATTTCAGTCCTAAATAATTTGGCCTCTAAATTTAAAAAGCATCCTGCTATTTAGCCACAACGCTATTATCACACCTAAGAAAAGTGACATTCATATTATTGAATCTGTCGTCCATGTTCAAGTTTTCCCAGTTCCAAGATGACTTCTATAACTGCTTTTTCACAACAGAATCCGGTCAAGATTCATAATTACATTTGGCCTTTATGGCTCTTTAATCTCTTCTTATTTAGAATAGATTCCCAAGTTGTTTCCATGGCTTTGTGAAGAGACCAAGCCAGTTAAAACAATGTAGAATTTGGCCCTGGCCAGTTTGGCTCAGCGGTTAGAGCGTCAGCCTGTGGTCCGGAGAGACCCGGGTTCGGTTCCCGCTAAGGGCACGTACCTCGGTTGCAATTTGTCCCTGTCCCTCCACATCGATGTTTCTCTCTCCTCTCTCTTCCTCTCTCTCCCTCCCACTCTATCTGTACAAAAAAATGGAAAAATATCCTCGTGTGAGGATAAAAAAAAAAATGTAGATTTGTATGATTGTTTCCACAAAGTGTCATTTATTCCCTTTTCTCTACATGCCCCGTAGCAGCGGTCCTCAAAGGTGGTCCCCAACCAGCAGCAGCACTTAGTAATTTATTACAAATGTAAATTCTTGCCCCAAACGAGAGCTACTACACTGGAAACTCAAGGGTGGGACCCGGGAAGCTGTGCTTTTACAAGCCTTTCAAGTGATCTGTGCCTACTCCAGGTAGAGGGCAACCTCTGTAGGGCAAGCCGCTGGCCTTGAGATCAGATTCAGGCTCTCGCTAGCAAGCAGAAAGCTGTATTTGGGACATTAACTTGCTTCAGCTTTCTGATTTGTGGGAGACTTGAGTCAGCCCCTGGTGCAGGGAAGGATGCCATCAGCTTCTTTCTTGAAGCAGAGGCCGTGTGCTCCCTGCTGCTTATGCATTGGCAAGAGCTCACCCTGTGGGCTTTGGTGGCCCAACAGGTGCCGCTAACATTCCATTTCTAGCCTGGCACTAGGCCTTCTGAAGGGGAATAAACAGAGCAAGGACAGTCTGAGAGATACCACAAGAAATCCAAGCTTTGAGGACTAGCCTTTGAGCTCCGGAGCTAGGGAAGAAGTAGATTCTTGTGATCTAGGATTTGTTTATTCCATTTCTTTGAAGTTAATGCCAAGAATCCAAATGGTTTAAACTGCCCTAAATATTTCTCCTCATTTGGTCTATCACTCCAGTTGTAGATACACGTGCCTCTCTAAAATAAGGGAAAAGGGTCAGTTCCTGCACATGAGACTCTGTATCCAATTATAAAAACTCCCACTTGGGTTCCCTTGGTAACTAAATTGATTAAGCATTCTGTTCTTGGAGTTTTGAGATGTGTATTGTATTTAAAAATTTGCCTCAAAACATAAGACAAACCTAAGGCACTATATGTCTAAGGTAAAATTTCAATTTGGGATTTGGTACGAAGGCTTTTTTGGTGGATTGAACTGTTCATGTAAATGCTTGATCGCAAACCAGAGCGCTATGCTCTACACTTTTTCTTTACAGCATTGTTCCATTGTTTTAAAATGCTAAAGAAATATTTGAAAGATACTAATTTAGAAATATGTATTTCTTTTAGATTTTGCATTTGCGAATAATGTAGACAAGTAAGTGATTTTCATTTTACATTTATTATTGGATTATTTTCATAATTGTGCTAACCCCCTAAATTATTTCCACTTCCAAAAACAGATTTTAATGAGTTAAAAAAAATAACTGGTCCAGCCGGTGTGGCTCAGTGGTTGAGCGTCGACCCATGCACCAAGAGGTCGTCAGTTCGATTCCTGGTCAGGACACATGCCCAGGTTGTGGGCCAGATCCCCAGTGCAGGACATGCAGGAGGCAGCCAATCAATGTTTCTCCCTCTCTCCCCTTCTCCCTTCCTCTCTCTCTAAAATCAATTAAGGAAAAATAAATAAATAATAAAATAACTAACTCTTTAATTGATAGGAAACATTTCTAAGTCTTTCTGTGATAAATGAGTTCAAACTATGTATTCATATTTGACATATTTAAAATTTTAATATTATTATTATAAACTAAAATAAATGAAAGTGTGATTTGATGTATAAAAAACAACTTAAGAATTATTAGCAATTACAAATAAGGGTCTTTATTTTTCTTATCTACTGTTCCCCTGAATACGCCCAGCAAGAGCAAAATTAACATTTTATATTCACTGGAATTTACATTTCCAAAAGTAAATACTTCATTAAATTATGGAATATTGATGAATATTGATGAATTTAAAAACCATTACTCTCTTTTAATTTTGAACTTAGGAACTTTTTCGTGGATTCAGTTTTGAAAAACATTATCTCCAAGCACATGTATAAAATATAGCATAATGTAGAAAATAACTTTCCAATAACATGTATATAAGATACTAATATGTATATGAGATCTAGAAATATTTTAATCATTTCATTTAACACTGGTTCAAAACATGACCGTATAAAAATGTGAGACCTGAACTGTAATAGTTGATCCCAAATTTGCTCAAAAACTCTATTATTAAAATAAATACCATATATATTAAAAATAGCATTACTTTTCCTGAAAGTCATTTGTCACTAGAGCCCAAAATTTATTTGTTAGTGGTACTGTACTACCAATACCATAGAAAAATATGACATTGCTACATTCAAATTAAAAATTCATTTTGGTCTCATTGATTTTTCTGATGCAATTGCCATTTTTGCAGAACTGTGTTTGATGACTCAGAAGACGCTGTTTTTGTAAGGTCCATGAAGAGATCATTGGTGGCTATTACCTTTCTGAACTGGTGCACCGTTCTGAAACGAGAGGAGAAGGGCTTGGAAGGGGAAGGCACAGAGCCGGCGCAAATGCTCACAATTACCCTGAGATAACTCCTGGTGTTTCTAGGAAGCCTCATGGTTTCCGGTTGCGTATTAAACTTCTCTGTGACTTAGCATGTTACATATTTATTTCGACATTACTTTGCAACATTTGAATATAAACAGAAACACCAATAGTGAAAAGTAATCCCCACATTTTATGTTACGTTTTTAAGTAAAACATGTATATAGAACTACATACAAATTATAAGTGCTCGGCTCAACAAATTTCCAAACAACGAACACATCCAGGTAACTGGCATCCTCTCAAGAAGAAGACATTGCAGCACTCAACCTCCTCCTTCTTGTCAGCAGGCCTGTTACCCAGTACTCCACGCACTTCGAAAGTAATCACTGTCCTGATTCTAAACCGTACATTAATTGTGTCTATTTTTGAAAGACATATAAATGGAATCATAGAAGTTGAATTCTTCTTTGTCTGGCTTCTTTTACTCAACATTGTAAAATCCACCCAGGTCATTGCCGACAGCGGTGATTCTATTGTTCTCGTTGCTGTATAGTATTCCGTTGTATGACTAGACCACAGTTTATTAATCCAGTCTGCTGTTTGGAGGCATTTGGCATTTGCATGCGGGCTCATAATCTGAGCTTGGTCCAGCCAGAAGAGTGCTGCTGGAGGGAAGAGAAAGCAGAAAAGCTTTCGGCAGTTCCGTGGCACCGAGACACTGCACCAGACAGTTAAGGTGACTCAAACACATCCTGGCTTTCTCCCACTAAGCTAATGAGCTGGATCAAAAGCTTATAAAAACCAGGGTGACATTTCCTCCGACCTGATGGTGCTTAGAACCATCACACTGTTACATAGGTATACAGGGTGGGGCAAAAGCAGATTTGCACTTGTTCATACAGAAAATAATACAACAATGAGTAAATAATAATAATACAAGAATGAAGTCTTTGGCACACTCACAACTGTGAACCTACGTTTGCCCAACCCTGTACTGTAGAAGTGGGACTGAAATAAAAACAGGCAGGAGAGGAAGCAGTGAACTCTCACTGAGAATCTGTAACCAACTTGTACCTGTGGGCACCTCTGATTGTGTGCACAGCCAGAGCCTGGAATTCGAGTGAGGTCCCCGGCAGAAGGCTGCAGCTGCGAGAGAGAAAGAGTTTGGCGCAGGTGTGGGTATGTGGCTGATATCAAGGCAAAAGTGATGGTGTGTGGCTTTCAAAACTGGGTCATAGAAAGAAAATGTCCTCTTGTTCTCTCTCCTGGATCTTATTGTGCAGGAAGCCAGCTGTTGTGATGTGAAAACGCTTAAGCAGCCCTCTGGAGAGGGCCACGTGGTGAGGAACTGAGGCCTCCCTCCCCAGGCCAGTGAGCACCGAGGCCTTCTGCCAACAGCCATGTGAGCTGCAGGTCACCCTCCAGACCCCGTTAATCATCTTGCAAGTCATCCTCCAGACCCAACTGAAGCCTCAGATGACTGCAGCCCCTGCATTTCTGGTGGGCTGAAACCATATGAGATAATACCTATTGACGCTTCAAGCTGATAGTTTTTGAGGTAACTGGTTACACAGTAATAGATAAGCAGTACAATTACCCAGCATAATCCATGGTGCTAAAATATTTGTTGGAGGTAAGGATGCCTTGTGAAGTCTCTGGAAAGCTCTTAGAGGCATAGTCGGGTCTTCAAGGTTTCTCAATAAGGCCACACCATCAGCAGCGGAGAACAAGCCACCATTTGATTAGATTGATTGATTGTTTGTTTGTTTTGGTTCTTGGCTTACTACTGCATCCGTTCTAGACCTGAAGGCCTGACCATTGACCATGAAGTAACAGTTTGATCAAAGCTACCCATCATGAGCTGAGTATATCAGACCCACCGGGCAATAATGTTGGCTGTGTATAGCAACAATCCATGTCATGGTGGAAATGTATATTTAAATGGGATTAGGTTTAAACTGGCCCATGAGTTGCATTTATTTTTAACTAGAATGTAATAAATTAAGGATGGGATATTGTAATCTCCAGGTTAGCCACTAAAAGAGTAGTAAAAGAATACAATGTCTGGTTTTTGGGGGGTTTTTTTGGTACATGCCCCTGGTGGGAACTGAACCCGGGACTCTGTGGTCCGTAGGCCGATGCTCCAACCACTGAGCCAAACCAGCCAGGGCGATGTCTGGTATTTTTAAGCCTACAATCACTGAAAAGGATGGAAAGATTCTTCCAATTACAAAACTATGGCTAGGACATTTTACTTAATCTCTTGTTTAAAGAACAAATGGCTGTTCCACTTAAATGAAAAGATCTGCTTTAAATGAATGAAATGTACTCAATACTGAACGTTTTTATTCAATAATGAAGGGCTACTCATCGTCTGAGATTGAAAACCACAGCTGTAAATACTATTTCGGGAGAAACACAAAATAGGGAAGACATGGTCTTTACTTATACAACCTAAAACTCTACCAAAATGGAAGACACATCGAGACGGCGCTTTTAATTACGTTGTTTGTTTTAAACAACAGAGAACCACTTACACTGGTTTAAGTGAAAGCATATTTATTTCAGGATCCACTAGTTTTCATGACTAGGAAACAAAGAAACAAACCAAGCCCACTGATACAAAGATCTTACAAGGGAGTGACTACCAGCTGGGGCTCTCGAATCAGAGACCCAGCTTAGCTCTTCCACTCACTAGGCTTTCATTTCCTGTCATTTCAAACGACAGTGGTTATCTCACGGATTCTCCCAGATCAAGTCAGACAATGTATGTAAAGTGTCAGAGTAGCTTTCTCAAAGTAAATGCTTAATATATTTTCACTAATACTGTTATTTTTGCCCCAAGAGCAGTTATTCCCCTTATGGACCACACCTGCTATTAGACTGAATGTTGTGTCCCTCCAAAATGTATATGCTGCATCTTATTCCCAGTGAGATGGTACTTGGAGGTAAGGCCTTAGGGAGGTAATGGGTCTTGAGGGTGGAGCCCTCATGAATGGGATTAGTGCCCTTATCAGAGACTAAAGGGCTAGCTTGCCCCCTTTCTGCCCTGTGAGGACAGGATGGCCCTCAGTCAACCAGAAAGAGGGCACTCACCAAGAACTCAACAGTGCTGGGACCCGGGTCTCTGCCTTTGAGCCTCCATGAGTGTGAGAAGTGTCTGTTGTGCAAGCCAGCTTAGTGTAGTTTGTTATAGCAGCCTACACCAAACTGGGACACCTGGTCAACATCAGGGACCTTCAGAGAAACAGAACCAACCAGGCATGTGCACATAGAGAGAGCAATTTATTTTCCAGAATTGGCTCATGCCACTGTGGAGCTGGCACATCCAAAATGTGTGGGGCTGGCTGGGGCAGACTGGAAATTCAGGCATGAGCTGATGTTTCAGTCTTGAGTCTGAAATCCACGGGGCAGGACAGCAGACTGGCAGGAGTTGGTCAGGCTTTGTTTTTGTCTGTAGCTGTTTGCACGTGGCCAGTTTCTGCAGAACCGAGACTGGGGAATGAGGCAAAAAGAAAACCCGGAGAACAAACCAAGCGTCATTGCCTAGTTCCCGAGGTCCCTAGCTGGTCTTTTTGTTTTATATATGTCCCGGGCTTTTTTGTTTTACTTAGTGGGAGAAATGGGGGGGGGGGGTATACATTATTTCATCGTTCCAGAAGCAGAAGTGTTCAGATTACATTTTAAATGTAGCTGAATTTGTTTCCTTTTGTGGTTTTTGGGCTAAGCTATTTAGGAAGGCCTCCTTTTGCCAAATTCAAGAATCCTCTGTGGTTTCTTCTAGGATTGATCATTTTTTTTCACGTTTACATCTTACCCATTTGGAATCGCCCTGTGATTAAGTAGTTTTATGAATTTACGCATTAGCTAGCCCCCTTGCCCTGAATTTGCCAAGCGTATACTGACCTGAATTATTCAAGTTTCCCCACTTAAAAAGATCCCTTTATCTATTTAGAAAACTAGAACTTTGAGCCCTGGCCAGTGTGGTTCAGTGGGTTGGAGCATCATCCTATACGCCAAAAGGTGGCAGGTTCAATTCCTGGTCAGAGCACATACCCAGGTTGCGGTTTGATCCCTGTCCAGGGTGCATGCGGGAGGCAATCAATTGATGTCTTTCTCTCCCTTCCCCTCTCTCTAAAAATCAATGAAGCATACCCTTGGGTGAGAATTAAAAAAAAAACAAGTTTGTCCATAAAGGATATAGAAACTGTACTTGAGCTACCTTATGAGGGTGGAAAGGGGGAATCTCCTGTTTATCTACTGAAGTAATTATTACAAGGAAGAGATTTTGCTTTTTACCTAAGATCTATGCAAAAGATACTTTAATAGCAAAAGATGTATTCGAATAGTAAGACTATGCTAATCTTTTAGGTCCTATTTTTGAGAAAAGTTTCTTAATATATTGAATATATTTCAACATGGTAAAAAAATAAAAAAACTGGAATGACCACCTGTTTTCATGGTATTATAATGGAAATGTCTATTTTAGGTTATTTAGGACAAAGGAAAAATGTATGACCAGAACCAACCTCATTTTCTCTTATACCCCATTTTCTGACCACCACTTCCCTAAAATACATTCATGGAAAATTCTTATATTGACACAGATTATATCTGAAGTCCTCTTTGTCCAATGTAAAGGTTCCTACTTATGTCCGTTACAGCTGTGTCAGAGTTCCGACTCCTATCAATGAAGGGGAAATTACCTCTACATTGCCACATCTTGATTTTCCTATTGCCTTGTGCTTTTGGGTTTTGTTTTAATAACTCTCCATGATATCCAAAGATAGGGACCATGATGATAATACAGAATGGTGTCAACACAAATGCAAAAGAACACTTAAAAATCAGGGAACTCGGATATAAACCATTAATTGTGGGCAAGGGCAGGCTAGGATTATTCTACTACCCCAAAATAGATGTTCCTCCTTGTACAGATGAGGTACCTCAATGACTGAAGAGAGGCTTGTCATGACTGACAAGTGCAGACACAGTCTGCCTGCTGCATTCCCACCCAGTTATCGGATCGACTCATAAGCAGCCGTCCTAAAGCAGCTCGGTAGAGGGTGCTCAGACGTATGCCTTTGTGGCTGGGAAAAAGTAATTTTTCTTTCCTTTTAAGGACACAAAAAACCAGCAAGATAGAATAATTTGATCAGTGAAGTGCAGTGAGAATTCTAGTCATTTTCATTTGCAATTGTACATATTAAAATAATTACTGGCCCTGGCCAGGTAGCTCAGTTGGTTAGAGCATCATCCTGATATGCCAAGGTTGAGGGTTCAATCCCCAGTCAGGGCACATATAAGAATCAAACAATGAATGCATGAATGGGAAAAACAAATCAATGTTACTCTCTCTCAAAAAAAAAAACAAAACAAAAAATTACTACTTTTTTCTCCAATATCTGCCACCGCTGATATCAATAAACAATGAAACAAGATGTCAGTTGGTTATATTAATAGGCACAATTTATTTTACAATCAACACAGGAAACTATGTAACACAGCACTGTCTTCAGCTATCACTCTAGCTCTGTTTAAATACTGCACACTCTAAAAACATTCTATAAAGAACAGTTATAAATCAGTTTCTGGACATGAAAGGCCACATGAAAAGCTTCTAGGAAGATAAAAGTCAGCCTTTCGAGTGGAATATGGCACATAAATTTGTTTTACAATAACAATGGAAACTATGTTTAGCCATTATTTTACCAAAAATTTCATTTCATGGTACATTTCTTTTAATGCACATGCTGAGATGACTCTGGCAATGCCTTAGTCCCTCCTGGGGAATCTAGTATTTCTGACGGTACAAATACTGGATGTAGATAAAACATCACTGCAGGAAGTACATCAAATTCAGACTGCTCAAGATAACCTCTATAGAAAACTATAATTAACCAAACAAAGATCCTTAAACACACAGCCTTTCTTCATTTCGTTACATCCTAATAAGTAGAACTTAACTATTATAAATGCTATTTATATGCATTTTATTCACACATAAATTATGATTTTTTAAACTACCCATCTTGGTAGCTATAACATTTCTCTCTTGAAAATCTCTCTCCTGCACCCGTTCAACTTGACCCTTTGTTCCCAGAACCTACATTTCTTCTTTAAGGGGATTCTTCCCCCTTTAAGAACAATTGCTAGAAAGGTGGCCTCAGAAAGAAAATAGAAACATTTCTCCTGTATTTTGAAAAATAATTGTTTCTGTAGGAGTATCTGTCCAATTATAGAACAGAAACCGGTGGAAACTGGGGCCTGGTGGACACAACTTTGTGGGCAAGCGTCTGTCCTAGGAAACCCTGCCGCAGAGCTGTGCAGGTGTCACAGGCGACAGGGACAGTCACAGGAGCTCCAGCCACTGCAGGGGGAGGCCCATCCATGCTCACACGTGCTCTGCTCACTCCTCGGATGCCAGTGGACCTGCCGCAGCATCCTGTGAGCATTCCAACCCAGCGTGGCACTGGAGAGACGCTTTCTCCCCTTCCACGGCCTCTGGAGGATCGGCTCCCTCCCGGGGGACAGCCGGCTCAGCCTCTGGCTGCTCTGCATCAATACCATTAGAACTGACATCGAGTTTGCCATCTGATAAAAACAAAAAAGAAACCAATTTGTTTTTGCTTCCGAGTATTATTTCCTCATAACAAGCACAAGAGGTAAATTATCTCTATTATCACTATCATTATTCGACAAATGGGGAAACTGAGAAGAGAGGCTTTGCTAACTTGCTCAGTTCACAGCTAGTAAAGCAGAAAACTGGCGTTTGAACTCGGGACTCTGGCTCCAAAGTGAGGCCTTGAAAACAGGACCATTATGTGGAATCTGACAAGGTCTGCATTCAAATACAGCTTTGCTATGAATTAGCTTGATGTCCACGGGTTACTGTCTATACAAACCTGTTTCCTTACCCACAAAGTGGGGGATAATCAAACCTATCCTACATTTGTGGTGAATAAAGGTGTCTGTAAGACTTAGAATAGTGTGTGGCCCATGCTGATGTTCAACAGCTGGGAGTTCCCACTCTGCCGACATCCTATTCTCTCACATGACTTGTATAGTACATGCCAAGCTGCTATTCACTGCCCTCAACACACAGGATACAGATTTGTCTAGAAAACAGGAGAAAGCATGGCTGTCAAAAAGCCTGACTATTCTCTTAACAGTTTATTTATACAAATTAATGTTGTACAGATTATCTAATCCCACTAGTAGTGTTTCTCGACCAAGTGGTAAAGGGAACACGGTCCCCTGAAGGGTGAAGGCAGAAGCGCTCAGTGCCACAGCCCCGGCAATCTCTGCGAACCGCAGCAGCCCGCAGAACGCGCGCCAGTACTCTGGGGCGGCACAGGCCTGCCCCTGCCCCACAGCCCGGGCAATCTCTGCGAACCGCAGCAGCCCGCAGAACGCGCGCCGGTACTCTGGGGCGGCACAGGCCTGCCCCTGCCCCACAGCCCGGGCAATCTCTGCGAACCGCAGCAGCCCGCAGAACGCGCCAGTACTCTGGGGCGGCGCAGGCCTGCCCCTGCCCCACAGCCCGGGCAATCTCTGCGAACCGCAGCAGCCCGCAGAACGCGCGCCGGTACTCTGGGGCGGCACAGGCCTGCCCCTGCCCCACAGCCCCCGGCAATCTCTGCGAACCGCAGCAGCCCGCAGAACGCGCCAGTACTCTGGGGCGGCACAGGCCTGCCCCTGCCCCACAGCCCGGGCAATCTCTGCGAACCGCAGCAGCCCGCAGAACGCGCCAGTACTCTGGGGCGGCACAGGCCTGCCCCTGCCCCACAGCCCGGGCAATCTCTGCGAACCGCAGCAGTCCGCAGAACGCGCGCCGGTACTCTGGGGCGGCACAGGCCTGCCCCTGCCCCACAGCTGCTGAAGCAACTCACTGTTTCCAACCAAAATGAGTCATACACCTCATGAGGGAAAGAAAAATACTATGGAACTCCCTGTTCTGACACTTGTAGAAATATAATCTGCGCATTATTAGGTCTGCAATTTAATTGGAATTCATCAATCTGCTCTAATTTCACCTGCAGTTTTTAAATTAAGGTAAAGGCTTCCAACCTTGAAGTCATTGGGTAGCCATTAGGGGAAATTTAATTATTCTCTTATTCAAAGACCTTAAAATCCTTTGTGAGAAGAATGTAAGTAAATACTCATTAAGAGTCCCACAGTTCCATGGCAGTCAGAAAGTAGACTGTGGAAGAAAATCAGCATTTTATGTCTTTTGTTTTCCATTGACATTTAGGTGACTATATCCTATACATTAACCCCCACAAAACAGGAATTCAAAACAGGGACACGTGTGAGACCACACAGACAACCCGTACTCTGGCCACCCCAGGCCCGCTGGTTCCCTGTGGCCCCGTGCTGGTATCATCTTTCATGCCCTCCCCTCAGTAGCAGCATCAGCTTTTTATGTACGTACTGTTGTCCTCTTCACTCTTTTCTTTGGCAGCCTCCAACTGTTGTTTCTCATAAATGTCCTTGAGATTCTTACAGATTTTCTTATGTGCAAACCAGTGTGTTTTCTGGCAGCTTTGATCGCAATATATTACCTGAAAGCAATTGTAGGTGTATTTGCATTTCAAGAGCTGTGATTGCACATCTTTTAATTATGACATTAAACCAAGAACTATGCTGTAAAAGTGTTAAGTTTTCTATACTTTATTTTGCAACCATGATGTGTGTATGCGTATTGATTTGTATGTGTAATTTTTAGCTTATACTTTATAACAATAATGGATATATAACAAATGGTCTACGAAAGACTCAACAAATGATTTCCCTAAGAACCTCCTATGTGCCATAACTGGCCCGGTGCAGCTGTCCCGGAGGAACGGGGAGAGCGGGATGGGCAGCACGCAGGAAGTCAGACACAGCCGAGCACAGCCGCAACGGCAATGGGAGCACAGGGGAAGCAAGGCCTCACTCTAGCTGGAGGAGTCAGTAGACAAAGAAATGAGAAAAGCATTCCAAGTGTAGGGACTATCTTGTACGAAAGTACAGGAAAGGGGAAATGAATGACATGTTCAAGAACAGCAAAAAGTTTGTGTAAATGAAGCTTAGATTTTTGCAACATTCTATGCCAAGCACTATGGTAGCCCCTTACACATAAATGGTGCTGTAGGTTGTATTATTGGCCCCAATTCTTCATTCATCCCTGCATCCATACACTTTCCCATGTGATCGCAAAGTACTTTATACCGAAAGGGAGGAAAACTGACTTTAAATTTGGCCATGAGAAAGCCCAGCAGTGGTAAGGCTAGACCTCCAGAGGCCTCATATGTGTTCCCACTTGCTGACTTATACTTCTGCCATCACCATGAGAACATGCTCAGCCAGGCTGCTGGTCCAAGGAGGATGAGATACACATGGAACACAAGTCCCCTTGCTGAGCCCAGCCAAATGCAAACATGGTGAGAAATAATGATTGTTGTTTTAAATACTGAATTTTGGAGTGTTTTTGTAAGCAGCAATATAGTTAACCTATACAGATAATCTCATGTAATTCTTACAACTCCAATCCCATTTCACATATAAGGAAACTGAGACCCAGAGAAGTAATTAAAGGAGATGAAGCTGGATAAGTAGGTTACAGAGTAATGTAGTGGGTTACAGAAGAATATGCTGAAGAATGTCAACCTTAAAACAAGAGGAAATTAACATTACCTATAGGGTAAAGCGAATGTACAGACACATGCATGTGTCTGAGTGTGAGAAAAACACAAGCAAATATTATGGTAAAGAATTATCTTTACAATGATAATTCTGGCAGAAGTAGGTAGTATAGTCCAGAGAGCTTAAAAATTGGTGACAGTCAGAAGGGAGTCACAGTTTTACAAGAAAGAGTTTATGAAGATATTATATGTAGTTCAAGTCAGTATCAGAATATTTAAGACTGCATACTTAAGAATTGTTTTATTCTAGTTTCAGCCTCAGTCCCCTATATACGACCTTTCTCTTATGTTCTCATATTCATTCATTTATTCATATCTTTTCTTTCTTTGAGAGTTCAGCACAGAAGTTGGAGCATCTTGGGTGTTTGGCAGAAGGTAGGACACAGAGCTATAACTATCCTTATCTCTCTTCCAAATTACTTTTCAATATTAGATGCAATACTTTATATCTAATGTATTAAGTTTATTAGAAAACTAATGTCAACCATATTTACAGAATATTAAAACTCAATTATCAACTTGCATGAAATTTACACCAGATGTTAATGAACTTCAGAGAACTTCTTACCATTTTGCACACTGAGCATCTTTTACTTGCTCCCTTTTCTCCACAGGTGGTACAAAATTCAACATCCACAAAGCCCACCTGACCAGTGATGGCTTGAGTAAGTACAGAGAATGCAGTGGGATCAGAACCCTAGAATGAGTATAAAGAGGAGGAAAAAACATTCTAAAATCACCATGGAAAGACTATGAGATGACACTCCATACACAATGTCTTGAGGCAGACACGCAAGAGACAAAATAATTAAGGACAGACTGCACCATCTGTATGACAAAATGACAAATACTCTTTTGAGTATACCTTTTTCTACACAAAGTATATGGGAGGTAAGTCATGGCTCCAAATGTTCAAAGCAAAAAAGTTGGCCCTCTTCTAGAATACAAGTATTTTTCAATTAGGATTATCCAATAAACCCACAAAGATTTCAGATACGGGGTAATGAACTCAGAGCCGATTTTCTTAGAACATAGTTTTACACTGTTCTGTACACTCAAGATCAACAAAATATGCAAAAGATTTAAGAAGTATTTTAAAAGTAGCACTCATATTGAAACTAATGCTCCTCCAAAAACAAACAGTAATGACTGGGTTTCCTTTTATATTAAAGTGCTAAGAATTCTGTTTTGGAATGAAGATAGTATAATGGTGAGAAAAAAATAGGTGAATTGAAACCTCAGATACTAGATATTTAAGTTAACATATTTGACCAGGAATGAAAGTCTATGGAAGTTGTGCTCAAATGATGCTGTGCATCCAAGAACTTGCTTAAAATTCAGGTCAGCCCTGGACAGTTTGGCTCAGCAGTTAGAGCACTGGCCTAAGGTCCAGAGAGACCGGGGTTCGGTTCCTGCTAAGGGCATGTACCTTGGTTGCAGTTTGTCCCTGGCCCTGGTTGGGTCGTGCGGGAGGCTGCCACTTGATGTGTCCCTTTCATGTCGATGTTTTTTTTTCTCTCTCTCTCTGCCTCCCAATCTATCTGAACAAGAAATGGAAAAATGTCCTCAGATGAGGATAAAATTAAATAAATAAATAGAAAATTCAGGTCAATCTGCCATCCCATACCTTCTAAATTAGAATCTCTAAAGATGTGGTGGCCCATGTACCTGCTTTATTACAGATAATTCTGAAACATACTAAAAGTTTGAGAATTACTGGTACTTACTGTTACACTAAATACTTATTAATCTGTGTAATTTTTTTTTGCCTCAAAAGTGGAGTACTAATCTGGTCCACAAATCAAGAGTGTGATATATTCAACAGACTAAGTCTGTAACAATTACATTTTAATGTTCAAATATTTGAACACAAAAGTGACTGAGACATGTTCAAAATCTTCCCCAAAATGGGACTTTTGTGGGAGTCAGAATACAATAATCCTCTCACAGGTGTAACCAAAACTAAAACTAAAGGATATTTTGCTAGAAGCATGGCAGTCAATCCGAACTATAGCTTCAGAAAAAAACTGATGACACAGCTGAGGAACCACATGGGATCTTTCTTTTCACTACTGGATGACAACTCTTTCTTGCTATATAAAATTGTGTCATCTATTTTGGTAAATAAGAATGTATTTAGCCCTGGCCAGTTTGGCTCAGCGGTTAGAGCATCAGCCCATGGACCAAAGAATCACAGGTTCAATTCCAGTCAAGGGTACGTACCTAGATTGCAGTTCAGTCCCCAGCCCTGGTCAGGGTCATGCGGGAGCAACCATTAGATAGATGTCTCTCTCTCTCTCTCTCTCCCCCCCTCACTCGGTCCAAAAATAAAATGGAAAATATCCTCGGGTGAAGATTAAAAAAAAAAAAAAAGAACGTGTTTAGGTAACAAAGTTCTGCCCATGGATGACGATCAGCCTAAAAACAAACAGGACACTGTATTCATTGTATCCTATAAAATCAGAGACACTTGCTGGCCTTCCAAGAGTTAAGGTATATGCTATGAATTGATAAAGCAAAATAGCTTGAACAGTATAATCTGTTATAAGGCTAGAACAACATTTCTTAAGAGTATCCACTCCTCACACTTCCTGCTGAACTTTGTGATGGACAGAAGCCAGAATTCCACACTAGGCAGAGGGAACTAAAACTCTGCAGCACGGCCTTGGCATCAGCATTGTCAGAAAGGGCCAGAGGTGACCCTCCTGGGAGCCAGCCAGAAGAAGCACCATGTTATATGGGGAAAGGTTAGAGCACTGTTTCAATGCTTATGAACTTGCAGTATCACAAAACCCATCAGAAAATAAACAGTGGCTATGTGGGATACTGACAACCACAGGTATTCCATCCAGATAAATAAAGTTTTCCAGAGAGCAGAATATATAACTCTTAAAGAACCAAAGTTTTTAAAGAGAAAATTTTCTAAAATGCATTAAATCCTATTTTAGTAATAAGTCTTTTCTCAATGACTCAGATCACTAGGATAAAACAATCATTGTGCTCCATAAACTCTAACTAAAATATTCTACAATACAGGACTAAGATGATGAATTGCGGACCCCTACACTGACTTGCTTTGACTTTTTTTTAAAGTACTCTGGGCTGCTATTTTTTTTTTATCCTCACCCGAGGACATTTTTGCATTTATCTTCAGATAAAGTGGGAGGAAGAGACAGAGAAACATCGATGTGCGAGAGATACATGGAGTGGTTGCCGCCACCCGCAAGACCCCAACTGGGGCTGGGGACAAACTGCAACTGAGGTACGAGCCCTTCGTGGGAACTGAACCCGGGACTCTCTAGTCCACAGGCCGACGTTCTAACTGCTGAGCCAAACTGGCCAGGGCTGGGCTGCTATTTTTAGTTCTTCTGTTTCCTTTAAGTCAGAATGTCAACTATAACTTGTTAGTGCTGGAAACACCCCACAGCAGCCATTGCTACTTGTTTCTCTAATCGCCATTTCCCCAACTTCCTTACTAATAGAAGTGTAATTTTGTTCAGAGCAGCAGTATTTAGACTAGGCAAAAATAATCCTTTTCCCAGATGTCTGAGCAGTTCAGAGTGGTCATGCAGCATAGGCAGCAGGGTTATGGGACACTGGTCTCCCAGCTACAGACCCCTTCCCTTCCTGGCCTGCCTGGGACAGGGATGTGAGCTTGGGAAAAGAGCATCAGATGCCTTGCAACCATGAGGTCATAAGAAGGTGTATGAAAATCCATACAGCTGCCCTGGCCGGTTTAGCTCAGCGGTTAAAGCGTCGGACCACGGACCAGAGTCCTGAGTCCGGTTCCCACTAAGGGCACGTACCTCGGTTGCGGTTTGTCCCCGGACCTGGTTGGGGTTGTGTGGGTGGCAGCCACTTGATGTGTCTCTCTCATATCAATGTTTCTCTCTCTCTCTTCCTTGTTTCTCTCTCTCTCTTCCTCCCTCTCTCCTTCCCGCTCTGTCTGAAGATAAATGCAAACGTATCCTCAGGTGAGGATTAAAAAAAAAAAAAATCCATACAGCTAAAGAATATTGAGTGGAAAAATGTATGGGTACCCAATCTTTTTTTTTTTTTTTTGTCATTTTGCCAGATCTGGTCTGCCTACTTTGGGGCTTCTAAGTAAATAAATAAACCCTTATTTATCTAATTCATGGTTGGCTGGAGTTGATATGTACAGCCAAATCACATTCATAATTAATAAACCACCCTCATAATTTGCTAACTTTAATCTTTCAAAAGCTTAAACACACTAAATAGCCAAGTATATTAAAAAGGGTAAAGCATCTCTATGGGAAATCATGGAGAGCTCTCATGCATAAATCAATGCATGAACTTAATGAAATCATTTTGTCTGCTCAAGTCTCTTTTTCGTGGTTCTGAACAGGTAACATTTAATGTATAAAGGAGCACCTGGAAGCTATTTCCAGTCCTGCTTTTTCACACTGAGGATGATATAACACCCTAGGAACAGCAGAGAAGAACTGACATTGCCAGAGGACGGGACTAGTGTCAGGATCAATTTCTTGCCTAATAGACACAGGTTGACAACGGATTTGACTGAAATTGGTAAAGCATCACTTGGATAGAAAAGGTGAACAGAAACTTATTCAAAATAGTGAAAGCAGGTACCGCCTTATGAAATACTGTTTAAATAAATATAGTATGAAGGGCAATAAGTAACTTAAAGAACACATAATACAGTTAAAATTTACTTCCCATAGCTGCAAAGTATAAATACATTTTTTTAAAAAGGGGAAATTTATAAAGTCAAAGGCAGTAAGGTGGACTATAAGAAGCTGGAACATACTGTGAGGCTGTTTGTTTACCAGGATATATAATGAGCCATGCCTCATCTCTTCACCTGTCCACTGACCAAAACCACCAACCTGGACAATCAACTCCTCCTTTCATCTAATGTGGGAACTTGTCCTGCCTTTTCACAAGCTACAGTGAACATGTGTGTATCTGCATTACACAGCAGATGTGTACCCATCTTTACAGGTTCACAGATATTTAATTTTTTTTTTTTGATATGTGCCCCTAGCGGGAACCGAACCTGGAACTCTCTGGTCCTCAGGCCGACGCTCAACCAGAGCCAAATCGGCCAGGACCCGGTTCTCAGATATTTAAAATGCAAATTTTCACTGTAACCATCCACATTCCAACCTAGGGAAATGCTGTTTATTAAACCATAAGCTATGGAAATGGAAGAAAGGACCAGAGAAGGGAAATGGATAAACAGAAAGAGAGTTCATAGGCACACCTATCACCACATTCGTTCCTGAAAATTTTCTAAAATGATAACTATTTCCTGTATTAAATAATTAATGCCAAAGATTATTTGCTTCTAGTTGTACCAATTATGCTAATTAGGTTTTCCGGATAGAGTTAACTTTGTTATAAAAGAGCCTTACAATTTCAACAGGAGCAATGCTTCTCACCAGCTGCTGGAGCAGTGTAGCTTCACAGTACGGAAATTTTCTGATACTTTCTCTAATGATCTTTTCTTGGTATATCGGAAAGCCATCAGAAGGTCGGCCTTTTAACAAGCTGAAAGATATTTTTTAAAAAGTAATTGGAGTTCCATCACTAAGCATTTCCTCCCAGCTGAGCCCATGAACTTTTAGTAGTTTCTTCCTGGCTATTTAAGATTTTCATTGTATCTTTAAATCAGGATAATTAGACTCAATTCAAACTGCTGTTCTGCCTCCATGTTGGGTTAGGTCTCGTCAGGTTTAGGGGCCTGGAGAGGATTTATGAACGTGACCCCTGCGTTACAGCACACAGAACACTGCTATCAGATTAGCTAGTTACTTATTACCATGTCAGTTATTTGTACAAAGAATGAAAACTTGCAGCAAGTCACACCCTTCCAACTTAGTTCACTTTTCTCAGTAACACTGTAGGGGAATCTGGTCCCTGGTGGTCAGAGCACAAAGGTAACACACAGCTGTCCTGGATACAGTAACGGAGACACACTAAGCGTCATTATGAACCCAGAGCACCTATGCATAGCATACTTGTCCTCATATTTGGACTTAGGCTACTTTCTAGATGTTTGACCTTATGCATGCTATTTAACCTCTCCAAACCTCAGATTCCTCACCTGTAATGGGGGATAACAAAAACAGTGTAGAGAGCATAGATCAGAATAATCAGTCTCCAGTCTAAGTTTAAAATTGTCCCCATTTCTTGTAGACTAAACGTGATCCCAACCGTAACAACTGCTGCTAAAATGCTTAAATTTTAAATCTGCAACGAGGCTTCATAGAATAAAACATTATCCATTTGAGTATATTTTATACATGACATGGTAAAAATAGTACCTTTTGATCAAAGTGTCCAGTTTATTCTCTCCGTCTTTTAAGAAGTTAATACATTTCTGAAAGATACAGCTGATATAATGCATTTTCATAGCCAATACTTCATTCATGTCACTTTGCTTCATACATTTCTCACAAATCAAATCCATCACCTTGTAGCATTTATTCAAAGCTGCTTCTTCTGCCAATAGAGGATTCTCATTTATCAGCATCACGATCTAGAAGAAATTCTAGTGAGCTTAGAAGTTACACGAGAGACTTTTCCATATAAAAATTAGGTTGTCAGTTTTAGTTGATTTCCAAAGATTACCAAATACAGTCTTTCTTACAGCCATGTATTTACTATGTTAATTCAAATTAGAATACAACTGGCCTGGATCAAAGCTACAAAACTAATACAGAAGGACCCTGATACTGTGGAATCTCTTGAACTCTGTATGTCAAAGTTCTCATGGGAGCTGCCAGCGAGGGTTGTTAGTTGGCTACTCAGTCATGGTTTTTAGTATTTGTTAAAAGTATTTTACTAAAGATAAAAATGGCATATTTGCATACCCTTTATATATGGAATCAAATCAACAAGCAATCACTATTTTTAGTTAACATCATTGAGCTTTAGAAGTTCATGGCTAAAAGAACTACAACTCTCATTAATTCTTATTATACAGAAATGAGATTTTTATAGAACTAAGTCTAAAAATCAAAGGTGTATTACTTTCTGATTAACTATATTTCTCTGTGGAAATTTTCCTACTATGTTCTAATCATCCATAGTAATGAAAATAGATCAAAGAGAAAAGCAAAAATAGCTTAAAAGGAAGAATATTAGAGAGTTATTAAATCTGATGCATTATCAGTCTCAAACATCCATATATGCACAAATTAAGCCAAGTTTAGTGTAGTGAGGAGTATTTTATTTTTACTGGCTTTGTTATAGGGTAGATTACATGCAATAGGTCTATACAGGACAGCTGTAAAAATCCACATTGACACAACAGTAATGTAAGCATGTGTGCAGAAAGTCAGTATTTGTTAACCAACCTGTTACAGCTAAATACTTATTCCAGGTAATGTAAATGTGAGGGAAGAACAGGTAGCAGATCCTTTTCTTTAGACATGAAGAAAGACAATTTGTTAACTTAAGTATGTCACAGGCCTAGCCTCCTTGGAAGTTTCATATAGCTTCAGTATTCTTGTGAAATTAAAATAAAATTTTTTACCACTACTAGATTGATAAGTTATCTTCTGTTTTAGTTAAAATGCACTCAATAATAAATTATTAGAGTTCATGAAATAAGTATAATCAGAATCCCCACTGGTAAATTTGCTGACAATTTTCCCTACCATAACATATAACAAAAATTAACTATAGTAGTAAAGAGTTATAAATTGGCTGTTTATATTTCTGCAGTCAACTATAATCATTTGAAGATGTTTGTTCAATATTTTGTATACAGCATTTATAATCAAAACTTAAAGTTTAACATCTTCAAAAAATCTCAAATAGAATCAAGATTAATGACTTTTTGTTTGTTTAGACATTAGGCTTTATTTATTTTACAATATACAGCAATATAAACAAAAATGTTACATCACCACGGCTATAGCATGAGCTTACAGAAACAGTTACATAGCTACACACAAAATGATAATACCTGAACTAGTTTCCTCCCCTTAATCCTGCGACATTATAAAGTAATACATTATAAACAAAATCCTTATTTTTAATTATTGAGGAGGAATAAATATATTCCTGTAGATATAAAAACAAGATATATCTTATCTTACAGGTAACGGCTACCTGAGAGTGTGCTTATGCTGTGGCATTTTGAATTTTTCCTTTTTTTTTTTAAAATCCGTACCTGAGGATATTTTTCCATTTATTTTCAGACAGAGTGAAAGGAAGAAAGAGAGAGAGAGAGAGACACATCGATTGCTTGTTTCCCGCACAACCCTGACCAAGGCTGGGTACTGAACAGCAACCAAGGTACATGCCAACCTTGACCGGAATCAAACCCGTGACTCTTGGGTCTGTGGGGCTAGCGCTCTAACGAGTGAGCCAACTGGCTAGGCTTTTCCTTTATTTTTAATCCCATTTAAAAATTACTATATCAACAATTCTGGGCTTAAAAATCATGTTAACAGCCCGGCTGGTGTGGATTGAGCGTTGTCCCATGGACTGAGAGGTCTCTGTTCGATTACCAGTCAGGGCACATGACCACATTGCAGGCTTGATCCCCAGTGTGGGGTGTGTAGGAGGCAGCCAATCGATGTATCTCTCTCCCTCATCCTCTCTCTCTAAAAAATCAAAGAAATTGCCCTGGCCACTTGCTCAGTGGTTAGAGCGTCGGCCTGCGGTCCAGAGAGACCCAGGTTTGGTTCCCGTTAAGGGCACATACCTCGGTTGCAGTTTGTCCCCGGCCCTGGTTGGTCGTGCAGGTGGCAGCCACTCGATGTGTCCCTTTCACGTCGATGTTTCTCTCTCTCTCTCTCTCGCTCTCTCTCTCCCTCACACTCTGTCTGAACAAAAAAATGGAAAAATGTCCTCGGGTGAGGAAAAAAAACAAAAATATAATTTTTTTTTTTAAAAATCATGTTAACAATAAAAAATGGGACCATTTGTGTGTAACTGCCTCCTGACCACTTAGAGGCCCTGTTCAACTCAGTTGTCATTTTCTTGAGAATCTGATTTTCTCCTTTCTAACCTGTGTATTCTGGGCAGCAGCACAATTCCCCCAAGTCCCTGTTGAAAACAAACATCCTATTGCTATAGCAGCCACTTCACCTTGACACAACGTAGTTGTGTCGGGAGCACTATAGCAAAAGATGAATTATGTATTGAAGATTTCTGTGGGTATTTTTAAGGGTCTTTAGCTTTATAGAGTGGCTATCAATTACATTTTTATAATGCTCCCTATCAAGACCGATGCCAGTCTGAAAAGGGGTAAAGCAATGAAAATGGGGCACCACAAAAGCTACTGGGCAGCTTTTATCCAAAGTGTGAATAAAAGAAAGGTTTTCAAGTGAAAATAGCATTTATCCCTACAAAAAGCAAGGTCTGGTCTGAAGGAAGGTACTATAGTCATAGAATAGTAGCTCTTATAAAACAAAGGTCTCTAAAAAATATAATGTAGGCTATTTTAGTTTATATATTTTTATAATATATTGCCTGTATAAATATATCTTTAATCTGATTTACTCAAAATAATTGGAAGTACCATAATCCTCAGGACATTTAACCCTGAGAGACTAGGTTCCATGTAAACATCAAAAATTACTCCACAGACTCAATTACTGCAATAATTGAGACTACTGCAATCTCAAGGGGGTGGAAACAGAGATATAAAAGACAGTGAATCAGAAAAATGCAGGGAACTTCTTCAAATCACTCTAAACCAGAATATCCAGTAATGCTCTGGCTAGAGGGGAAACAAGGGCTCTGTAAAACCACATACATTCTCTACATTGTATCCCTAGGGAAAATCCTGACTTCTCACCCCAGCCTGCCCCTCTCCTAAGAGAGTGCCATGGAGATGCAGTTGCTGCTATTCATAGTTCTCTTTCCCCTGTCTACTGGGTGGACAAGAACCACTGATACAAAAGAGGCTAAATAATTTTTAAAGGTTCATTTCTAAGTCCCATATAATCTCCAGTAGAAATACAAACATGTGGTTCACAGCTGAACTTCTTTTTTGCCTACTTAGGATCACAAGTTTGCCTCTAGTGTTTTTTCAGAGTGTTAAGTAAAACATTTGCATTTTAAAAATAAAAACAGCATAGACTCTACTTGTCAGTCTCATGGGAAAGATCTGCTGGTTTGTCATCTCTACTGATGGCCCAGAAAATTAATCTGGGTAAAGGGCCACATGACAGGTATTTTGTTCGTTTCTTGCACTTCAAAGACTATATGCAATGGGATGAATCAATAAAGTAATAAGATTATATACAATTTGAAACATATCTTCAAATGAGTGTGCACCATCAAGAGTTTATGAAACTTGTCCACTTATTTTAATGGTGTTCAGTTTATTCCAGATTCTTCTTTTGTAATAGACTTCTAAGAAAATCGATTTCACTAAATTATAACCACACCTTGTATTAAGGGAAAACCTCACTTTTTGACCCAATGTACTGTCCTGCTTACCAAACAGCTCTGAGTTACTGTCAAATCTATATATTATGAATGAAGACTACAAGAGACACTGAAATTTGATCAAGGACAGCATTGTCGTAGCACACATGGAATTTTCTATAGTGATTCACTAAAGAAATTATACTCATTTGGCTTGATTAAAATTTATTTTATAAACAAAAAGGCTATATATAAAATATGGTGAAAATAACTCAGAACAGCTTTTCAAGTTTCCCAGTTAAGCCATATGAATGTCTGGATTGGTCTGCAAGTTTGAAAATCTGTGTGATTTGACTAAGTACTGGAAGAACTGCATTACTTAGCTACTTGCAGTAAAAAAAAAATGTGTTCATGATTACATTTCAGAACATTAGTAGAACAATTATCAATTATTATAGTAGATGCTGTAGTGCCCCACCAGGCCTGTGTACCAGATCCCAGCTTCTGGGAGTGTTGTCTGTTATGGGCTCAGAGCTGCCTCCTTTTCCAGGGAACTGCCTTCATCCAAAGGAAGCTACCTAACTTGGCACTATCTGGGAAGCTGTCCCTTTCCCTCTGGGGACAGGCCTCAGCCAAGGACTGATATGAAAGCGCAGCCCCCTTGCCTCTCCAGAGCCATTAACAGTCCAGAGCTTCCTGTTAGATAAAGTGGAAGCCAGGCTTCAGCTGAATCCAGTTCTTTAACTAGCTCTTCTTCCTCTCTAGTGTCCTCACTCTGTTCCATGTCTCAAATGAGAACACTCCTTCACTCTAACAATTGAACAAGAGAGGCTATTGGAAGCTCTGCATCTACTAAACCCATCCCAAGACAATGACGATCCTATATAATAAGAGCAGTTTAAACTCTGAAGCAATATTTAAATAAAAAGCAAATACAATAAACACTACACTACCTTGACAGGATGAAGATTTGTTGTGGTGATAATTTTGTGCAGTGGGCCTGCCAACTTTGGGGGCAGTTTCGGCTCTGTATCCAGTCCCTGGGGTTTAGTGTAATAATTCAGTCTCTCTCGAGGAAAGAAATTGTTGATTACAGTTACACAATCATGCTGACCTTTTAACAGAAAAATAGGAAATTTGTTATTTTATAATTCACAATAAAATATTTTCCAATTTTTTAATTAAATATGTTTCTGTTTTCTTGTGTGGATCAACATCTTTGATTTTAAGGAAAGGAGAGAAGAGGAGAAGAAATAATTTCCTTTCAAATACACATACGTATGAAGATTATGAGGATTACAACAACAGCAAAGTTCAACTAACAATTTTTTAACCTAAATATTTTACAACGGTTGCTTGTAATTTAAATGTCTCCTCTTCTTGCCCTGGCTGGTGTGGCTCAGCAGTAAGAGTGTTGGCCTGCGGCCCAGAGAGACCCAAGTTTGGTTCCCGCTAAGGGCACATACCTCGGTTGCTGTTGTCCCGGCTCCAGTTGGGGTCATGTGGGTGGCACCCAGTTGATGTCTCTCTCACATCAATGCTTCCCTCTCTCTCTCTTCCTCCATCTCTCCCTCCCGCTCTATCTGAAGATGGATGCAAAAATGTCCTCGGGTGAGGATAAAAATAAATAAATAAAAATAAAAAATTAATGTCTCCTCTTCCATCCCTACACAGATGATGGTCATTATTCCCTAATCACATCTGGCTTTTGTTATATAGAAATTTAAATTTATTCTATAGAACTTTTCTTATCATAATTAGTATTCATAGTTAGTAAACTAATCACCCCTCCCCTGGAATTTGAGAAAAGCTTGGCCTCCGTGAAATGAATTTAGAGAAAAAGCTTTTGCTCCCATAAGCCTGGAACCCACATTTTGGCTTCTCATAGATCCCTGTGCCACTTAAGTCATGTCTAGTGGTAAAAATGGTTCTTAAAGTGTTGTAAAACAGCTCCTAAAAAAATATCAAAATGAATATAAGATTTGAAGATAAAGGGGTGAGAGGAAAATGAGAAATTAGCTTGTAACTATATCTTCTCATCAGTCCCCCAATAGGACAGCCAGAAATAGCCCTGTTAGCAGTTGAAAATTTTAATACTGGCTATAAAACAATGACACTTTACAGGATGAGGGGTTTCTTAATATTATACCTTTATGAGAAGGGAAAAATATTACTTTACTTTTTATAAGATTAATCTCTTTCATTTTAGGTAGTGCTGAGATTATTTTGACATTTGTAGCTAATCTACCAAGAATTTATATTAGAGTGATATATATTTAATGTTTATCATTATAAATATAAATTTTTAATTTATATTTAAATTTTAAGTCGTTTTAATGGTTTTTAATTTCTGAATTCTCAATCCATGCTAATAATGCAGCACTACTAACATACAAAGTAAATGCTGGGAGTGGAGGAACCAGCCATTGTCCTCCAGAGTCACCATCACTAGACTTGAGTCTTCTAGATTGAAGGACTCCCGAGTCAGCCTTGGGCAGGATGAATAAAAACACATACACAACTAGACACACCCTAGAAAAAATAATTTTCTTTTTTTTTTTTTTACTTTCCGTGATAAACTGAAATTGAAACAGGCTTCCACAATGAGAAATGAAAAATTTATAAAGGAAAATAAATCAAATTCTCATTTACAAAACCAGAATTAGGAAAACTGTGGAGTAACTTCTATGTGTGATTTCGAGAAAAGAATGATACATGAATACAAAACTAGCCAAGATATGACTCACATTTTCCAGAAAGTTTCGTTTATGATGAATTTTGAACAATATACAACCTACATACCATTTGAGAAGGTTGTGTCACTGAAACCTAAATAAGAACAGAGATTTCAAGATGGAGTGAGGAGAAAGAGGAAACAGGAGAGCAACAGCCCCCGGCAGCAGAGATCACTGGAGTGGGTGGAGAAGGCGTGACAGGAATTATACTGTTGACCATGAGATTACTGAAGGAGAAGCAATACACCATGAGGTGCACTCTAATAACATACAGGTACTAAAAATATTAGACTTTCTCAGCAAAGTCCACAGTTAGTGGTAGAGATGGAGAAAGAAAGAAAAGACCTGTTGCCTAAAAAAATCAAAACAAAAGACATGAAGAAATAAATGAGATTTAAGGTCTTCCTCTTGTTGGGGTGGTTAAATGAGCAAATACAGGGCCTCGGGGGTGGGGCACAGGGCATAGTTTTGTTCTTGTTTTTAGATGATAACTGAGAACTATGGGTTTAGCTGGGAATGTTGTGAATAGGAGAGTAAACACTAGTGGAATGGAAAACATTCTTGATCAAGTCAATAAAAAGTACTCTAAATAATCAGGCCAATCACATTGAGGAGATACACATACATACTCACATATACATGCAAACACAACCACCAAGTGCAATACAGAGTAAAAAACTGAGATAAAAGAGTAAAAGAGGAGTAGTACAATCAAGTGTATCAGCAATTACGTGAAATATGCATAAGCTGAATGAATACCTTTTAAAAAGAGAATATTTCTTGGGTTATAAAACAGAATCCACCTATATGTTTATAAATATATAGGTGTAATAGTAGTTACACTACTAAAATAAAATAATAAAAATTGAAAACAAAGGCATGGGCAAAGAGATTATTGACAAACAATATCAGAAAAAGTAGAACTAAAATTTAAGATAAAGAGTGGCATTATGCAATGATAAAACCAAGAGCAAATCATAATAAAAAGTGAAAAGCTAAAAATATTCCATTAAAAAAGATAATACATGCCAATTATCACTATTATTATTTCTTGTTACTTTGAAGCCTGGAGCTAATTCAAATAGAAAATAAAATAAATAAAATTGGATGATATAAAACCCTGGAGACTAATAAAAATTACAAGAGAAAAAAGTCAATAGCTATGGGGAGATAAATATTTCTCTGAAGTTTGCACAGCAAAGGCCATACCTTTCTCCAATCCTTCTGAAACTGAATTGAAATAAAATAATATTTGCTCCTACAGAGATGTCAAAGTGGCTCAGTGACTGTCTAACTTAATATAGCTACTAGCAGTACTTTTGTGATAGTTAGATAGTAAAATTTAACAAAATATACAGTTAGGATACCCCATATCTGACTAATTCCCACTCTATCTCAACTTAAATGTTATTTCTCTCTAAACCCCCTGGGAATGAGGATAGAAGATCCGTCTCTTTGATATATTTCTAGGGAACTCTTAAGTAGTCCCTTGGAGTATACTATTTCACAACGCCCATCATTTCTACTAACCTCAAATGCCACGAACACATGAACTGCCTCTGTCTTGTACACCACTGTAACCAAAGCACCTAAAATGATGCTTGGTATATAGGCTGTGAATATTAAGTATTTTTTTTAATGAATATTAGTCCCTACAAGGTCACTTATTGCACTCCCTATATAACAGGTGTTTATAGCTTTTCTATCAATAAACTCTCCTAACTGCCATTTTAGTGTGGCCAAAATAAAAATGATCAAATATTCATTTCCACTCTGAACAAGTCAAGAAAGATTGGGCACACACAATAAATATTTGTGGTTGATAAGGAAGGAGCCCTATATTTTACTATTATTAATGCTCCTTCCTATGAAGGAATTACATTGTTGTAATTATTAACAACAGTAACTGATGGCATTTATTTAGTGCTACTTATAAAGCTCTATCATTTCTTTCAGTAACCATGTAATCATGTTACAATGAGGAAACTGAAGGTTAGAATCATTAAGTAACACACTATTAAGTGGCACAGCGAGAATTTAAACTGAAGAGTGTTGACTCCACAGTTCATGTTCTTAAAAGTTAAACTACCTCCCTTAGAGAAATAAAATATACTCATTCAAAGCGTTCAGCTAAAACTAAAATAGCTCCACCATTCTTTGTAACTCACAAAGTGGACATTCAAAATAGCTTGTTCATTTTCTCCAAAGTGTCATGGTATTTCATTAAGTTAAACAAAACCTGGTAGGCTATAAACATTTAAAAAAAATAAACATGACAGTATTTGTTCTTTGAGAAGCAGAGTGGTATTCTTTCCATGGAGAAAATTTTGGGTATAATCTCATGTAACAATGCCATAAAATAACTCACCCACTACCCTGGCTGGTTTGGCTCAGCGGGTAGAGCATCAGCTCACAGACCTAAGGGTCATAGTTCAACTCCCTGTCAAGGGCACATATGGGGTTTCAGGTTCCATCCCCGGCCCAGGCAGGGTCATGCAGGAGGCAGCTAATCAATGTGTCTCTCTCACATCAATGTTTCTCTCTCTCCCTTCCTCCCTCCCTTCCATTCAATCTAAAAGAAATCAATGGAAAAATATCCTCAGGTGAGGATTAACAAAAAAGTTAAAAAATAACTCACCCACAAAGGCTGCCATCTGAGCTGCTGTTCTTCCTACCGAGTTGACAACATCTGTCTCAGCCCCAGCCTCCAACATTGCCCACGTGATGTCTTTATTACCTACAGTTTTTAAAAAGAAACATATTTAATATTAAGAAATGTGCAATTCAGCCCTGCCAGTGTGGCTCAGCAAACTGAGAATCGTCGCATGGACTGAGAGTTCCTGGTTCGATTCCCAGTCCAGGACACATGCCTGGGTTGTGGGCTCGATCCCCAGTAGGAGGGCGTGCAGGAGGCAGCCAATCGATGTTTCTCTCTCACATTGATGTTTCTATCTCTCTCACCCTTCCTCTAAAAAAAACAACAAAAACATATTTAAAAATAATAATAATAAAATAAAGAAATGTGCAATTCAAATACCCCTATCAAATTATCTGTAGCCCTTTTTCCCCATAAACTTTTAGGTTTTCATCTTATGGATACTTTTACTTTTTTCTAAAATATAAATCATAACTACAGTAAAAAAATAAAATGCTAGAACCCACTAAAAACTAAACTTATTTTCTGGAAAACACATCAAGTAATACAAAAATTGAGTAGAAATATCACTTTTTTTTTTTTAACAAAACAAAATATACTTATTTTCCTATTGATAAGGCTTAGTATAAAGTCAAAACAAACAAAAATATCAAAACAAAGACATAAAATTATTCGAAATCTTTACTTAGTATCTACTAACCCATCCCATCCTTCATACCTTCGGGTCCTGGGATAACTATTAAAGTTTAGAAAGGTAGACTCCCAACTGTTTTCTCTCTAACCGTCATTTGCATTATTCCATTTTCATCACTAATGAAATCATTGCAGATATTTATCTATTATAAACTATACTCAATGAACAGCATTTTCCATTAATTTTTGCTATTTGAACTACAATTTCCTTAGGAACAGTTTCAGGAAAATACTTCTGGAGCAAAGGTTACGCATATTTTAAAAGCATTTTGCCCGGCTGCCTTCCAACAAGGTTGGGCTGATGTGCACACCCCAAAACAGTGCAAAGAAGTTCCTATGCCAATGCAGGGCATTATCAGACTTTTTTAACCTCTGCCAATGTGGTAAGTGAGAAATAATCTATGTTTGTTAGCCGGTTGTGTTTCTTTTGTTCTTTTCAATTTTCTGTTTAATTTTCTACTGCAGTATTTGCTGTTTCCAATTGATTTATAAGAACTTTTCATACATAAGTATATGACCCTTTAAGACAGGTAATAAATATTTTCCTTAGTTTTTCATTTGTATTTTAACTGTATATATGGTATATAGTCTATATTTAGAAATTTTAAAATTATATGTAATCAAATTGGTCAATGTTGTCCTTTTTGACTTTTATATTTTATGCCTTGCTTAGAAATGCTTTCTAATTTCAGGGTTATAAAAATACAGCTTACTGCTTTAAAGGATGATATTATATACTACATCTTCATTTCCTTAAAAAAATGGCAACAATTTTAAATAACTCCACTTCATTTTAGATACTATTTTCCAACTGTCTTTATTCAGCAAACCATAATCAACATAAATCAAAGTAAGTTTTCTAAATGGACTGTCCCATTTAGTACATAAATGCCTATGAAACAAACATACGCTCCAGCAGAGCAGCTTTTTCTCAAGAGAACAACAAAGTTTTCACATTACTTCAATATGCAAAGATACAGAACATCAAAAGAACCAACTTGAAAGAATAATTGACCCAATGCCTCAACTCTACACAAAGTACAGGGCGGGCAAAAGCAGGTTTACAGTTGTTCGTATGGAAAATAAAACAATAATTAAGAAATAACAATACATGAATAAACTATTTCACATACTCACAACTGTAAATCTACTTTTGGACCATACTGTACATTGTCAATACAAAGAATCAATTGATTTAAGTAACTAAAAAAATAAAATAAAAAAATCATCACCAAATTGACTCTACAACATTTCATATATAATTTTTCAAAAACCAAGTTCCAACATTATTTCCATTTGAATTGACCTTAAAATTATTATAATATAAATGAATTCCATTTAAAAGCATATATGTACTGCCTGGCCAGTGTGGTTCAGTGGCCGAGTGTCAACCCATGCACCAAGAGGTAGCCAGTTCGATTCCTGCTCAGGACACGTGCCCAGGTTGTAGGCCTGATCCCAGTGTGGGTCATGCAGGAGGCAGCCAATCGATGTTCTCTCTCATCGATGCCTCTCTCTCTCTCTCTCTCTCTCTCTCTCTCTCTCCCTATCCCTTCCTCTCCCTCTAAAATCAATAAAGAAAAATTATTTTAAAAAATATACATGTACTTACAATAAATGTGTATAGGAAATTAGTAACACTAATATATTAGAATAAGTGTTAAAACTTCACCAGAAAGTGCAGCAAACATGAGGGCTGTGTATCCATGTTCATGCTGATGACAATTTACATCAGCTCCATGTCGCAAAAGTAATTTGCACATATCAAGTTTTCCTTTATATGCTGCATGCATTAGAGGAGTCATTCCATTCTGTAACAGAAAAGAAAAAAAATGTATTAACTTTACTTACTTGCCTTTTCACCAACCCATGAGCAACTCCTGCAATTAAATTAAAAACACAAAATATACATAAATTAATAAAATCATCTTTATAATCTATAAAGTTTTTTTTTTAATCCTCACTCGAGGACATTTTTCCATATTTTGGTCAGATAGAGTGGGAGGGAGAGAGAGAGAGAGAAAAAAAAACATCGACGTGAAAGGGACACATCGAGTGGTTGCCACCCACACGACCCAACCAGGGCCGGGGACAACCTGCAACTGAGGTATGTGCCCTTGGTGGGAACCGAACCAACGTCTCTCTGGACTGCAGGCCGACATTCTAACCAGAGCCAAACCGGCCAGGGCTGTAAAGTATTTTTATATTCACTTCCCCAATTGGATCTTCCATGAACTACTGAGGAAAAAAAGATAGTTTTACTTTTGTTTGGTTTGGTTTGGTTTTATATTTTTTACAGATTAGCAAACAGACTCAGAGAAGACTTGCTCCATTTCACATAACTGGACAAATGGCCAGGGCAGGGACCAGTACCCAGGTTACCAGGGCTCTCATCTCTACCACACATACTTAGTTCCTGGGGAAACAAATAAACAGATACAAATGCATTTTTTTAAAAAAGGAAATAGACTATCTGTCAAGGGAAAAACTGAATAAAGTATGAGAAAACAAGATGCAGGAAATGTACATTACAGTGGTATCATTTTTAAAACAATGTTCTCCCAAGCTACCTTTTTAAAAAAATCCTCACCCGGGGATATTTTTCCATTGATTTTTAGACAGAGTGGAAGAGAGGGAGGGAGGGGGAGAGAGAGAGAGAGAGCGAAACATTGATATGAGAGAGACACATCAATTGGTTGCCCCTCACATGGCCCCAGTCAGGGCTGGAAAGTAATCCTGCAACCCAGATGCATGCCTTTGATGGGGAATCGAACCTGCAACCCTTTGGTCTGCAGGCCGATGCTGTTAACAGCTGAGTCAAACTGGCCAGGACCCAAACTGCAGTTATATTTAGATCATATATATGATTTGGTCATATATACATTGTATAAATATGGAGAAATAGTTGTAGTATTTACATTAAGTTACATTGGTAATCTCCAAGTTTTTTCATATCAAATGAAACATCCAACCTCATATGAACTGGGTACTGGGTACCTAATACTGTTTGGTAGATAAATGAACAAGCTGTTCCCTGTTAAGTTGGTTTTCTTGGTAACCAAGAATACTCTGTAAGTTCTACAAGTGCTGGAATTTCAAAGTTGTTTACAATGAAAACCGCTCTAAAACTTATAATCTCTTACTTTAGTAAATCTTAGAATGCTAACAATATTTGAATTGTTCCTGATGATTCCAGACTATTACTTTGAACATAACCATCAATATTCTCGGATGGCTGTTGTGAGAATTATAGGGAAGGTGTGGGACCTTTCAGGTGGTTGTACAAGAGGCAACTTAATGGGAGTAGTCAAAGTTTCTTGAGAGTAGTAATAGAAAAATGATAAGAAGATTATAACTTTAAGACTCTCCCCTAGTTGGGTGTGTTTATAAGGATATGGTATTTAAATGCTGGGAGTGGTTTGGGTGGGTGTGGGTAATCAGAATCTCCTTGTACAGAGGCACCTTTAAGGGAGTGGGAATGGACTATAGGTCATTACCTTTGAATGAAGCAAAAATGTATTCAGAGCACGATTAGGGTGATAACCCCTAAAGTATGATATAACCTGTATATAAGAAGCTAGTGTGTAGCCTGGTGGGAAAGAAAGGACACCGTACAGATGGGCAGTCAATTACCAGCAATCACATTCTACAATGACAGGTTGCCTAACTCAGAGTGAATAATCCGAAGTCTACAAAATTGTCCTATAATTAAAAAAAAAAAAAAAAAAATTAAATGTAATGATATGCTTACCAGCAAAGCAGATGTGCAAAGGTTTTGGATCTTATATTACAAACTAGCCTCATTTTTTTAAATGTCTGCTTGTGTTTTAACTCTTATCTCTGTTAATCACATCAGCCCATATATCTGTCTGCCTCCCTGTTTCCTAATACTCACTTTCTTCTCATTAAAAAATAAATGTTTCTTTGTTTCTTTCTCTTTGCTTTGTTTTTTGGTGTTTCTTATTTACCAGCTGTCTTCTTATGACCTTGATTACTTCATGCCATTCCCTTCTGGCCTGTAGTGTTTCTGTTGAGAAGTCAGCTGAGAGCCTTATGGGGGTTCCTTTGTAGGTAACCTGTTGCTTATCTCTGGCTGCTTTTAGGATTCTCTCTTTACCTTTAATTTTTGGCATTTTGATTACTATATGTCTTGGTGTGGGCCTGTTTGGGTTCTTCTTATTTGGGGCTCTCTGTGCTTCTTGAACTTGAATGCCTTCTTCCTTTACCAAATTAGGGAAGTTTTCTGTCACTATTTCTTCAAATATATTCTCTAACCCTTGCTCCTTTTCTTCTTCTTCTGGAACTCCTATGATGTGAATGTTGTTACGTTTCCAGTTGTCCCACAGTTCTATTAAACCGTCTTCCTGTTTTTCAATTGTTTTTTCCTTTTGGTTTTCTGATTGGTTGATTTTTTTCTACCCTGTCTTCTAATTCACTGATCTGGTCCTCAGCTTCCTCTATTCTGCAGGTTATTCCTTCTAATGTGTTCTTTATTTAGCTTTTCATTCTTCATTTCCTCTTGGTTTTCAGTGTTTCTATATCTTTATTTATGTTGTGGAGGTCTTTACTCATGCTGTTGAGCTTCCTCAAGATTATGGCTCTGAACTCTACCTCTGATACCTTGCTTAACTGCATTTCATTTATCTCATCTTCAATAGAGTTGTCTTGTTCTTTCATTTGGAATTTCTTTGTTTCACCATTTTGGCTATCTCAGTGGGTTTTGAAGCCTGCCAAATTTTCCCTGTGGGTGTTGGTGTTCTGCTGTTTGTGACTCCCGCTAGTGGGTTTGGATGAGTGTGGGAGGACCCACATTAAACACCACTATCAAGTCTTACTTTCCTGGATAGATTTCAAGCCCAGGAAAAGTTCAGTTACCCTCTATCTTTTTGTCTGGAGGCTATTAGTCTCAGTTACTTGACGAGCTTTGGGTTGTAGCCCTCAGCTGAATGAAAAACTCCCTCAGGTGTTCAGGCAAAGAGGATTTCCAGAGGGTGGGGGCAGATGCTGGCTATTAATGAGCCTCAATTTGCATTTCTATGGCCCAGCTGGGTGGGGTTAAATCTATGAGGGAGGGGCTGCTGCTTCTCCCCAGAGCTCCAGGAACAGGCTCCCTGAGCAAGATGGCCACCGTCCTGTATGGCCATGATTCAGCAAAAACTCCAAGTGCCCTCCAAATCCCAGGTGTCCCCATACAGTTCCAGTCCAGTCTGCCCTCCCTCTTCCAGAGCCCAAGGTGAGTAGCTATAGCTAATTTAATGCTCTGTCCCTGCCCTCTGCGCTGTGGAGCCACCTTGGAATTTTAACCCCGAGGGAGCTGCTCAGAGCTAAAACAGCTGCTGTCTATGGGCTCCCAGGCCACCCTCTTGTGCCTCTGCAGACCTACCAGGCTTGATTTAGTGTCCTTTTTTCTTGTACCTGGTTATATGGGTCCTCTCCAGCTGCTTTTCTGTGCTTTTTCCCAATGATTTGTCTTTATTTTAGTTGTAATTCCAGTTTGGTCCTGGGAGATGATCTGTGCAGCTTCCATTCACTTGCTGCCATTTTTCCAGCTGTCTTCTTAGCAGTGATTGGTTTTTAGAGTCAGCCAATGCGAGAGCTTCTTTCCAAAGAGGTAGTGAGCTAGCCCAATAATGCCATTTGCTGTGCAATCTCTGAACGTGTTTGTGTCATGTTTATAATACAATGTATTTTTTCCATATCAAATATTTTGATAAATGCTATGTTTTCAGTTCTAAATAGTAGGCAATTTCTATTTCTATTTCTTCTTTTACCCAAGATTTAGAGTTTTTTAAAATTTCAGATTTTATGTTTTATTTTCTGCATCACTGCATTTGGTGAATTTGTCTGAAATTAGCTAGAATTTCCTTTATAAAATAGTATAATACATTGAGTACTTATCAATGTTCATGTAAAAAGAAAGTGTACTATTTTTTTCTTTTATACGTAGCACACATACTCTTAATTAGATTATCCAAATTTGCTGTCCCTGGATTACTTTTTTTCTACTTAATCTGTTGGTTTCCGAAAGGTGCTATTGTGATCTTACAAATTCCTCCTTGTATTTATCTTTTTAATGAACATCAAAACTTATAAGCTTATAAGTGAAGGCTTAAGACTAGTATGTTCTCAGTGGATTAACTTAATTTATAAGAAGAGTCTTAATCTATTAAATATTTTTTTTGCTTTAAACTCTATTTTGTCTAATGTTAAGTTTGCTACACATGTGTGGGTAAAAGGTTAGCAAAACCCCTTTCCCTTCTGCATGAGAACTGTGCTTTATAATAGAATAACCACACCAATAATGACGAATACTGGACAGCTCGGAACAGAAATTACCATCATCTCAGAGTTATTTTGGATAGCAAGTGTTCTAGAAAGCTGAGTTTAGGTTTAGTTAACTTTCCCTAGAAGTAGAGTTGCTGGATCAAAGGTACGTACATTTAAATATTACACAAATTCTAAATTTTTCTCCAAAACGTGATGCCAATTTACACCTAATCCATCAGCATATAAAAGTCCAGTGTTTCCCACATTTCACAAGAAATTATATAATTTTGGTTTAATTTGCACTTATTTAATTACCAATCCATTAAACATGTTCTTATGTGCTTATTTGTCTTTTGTGACCTGTCTGCTTACATTTGGTTTAGATATTAGTATCTAACTTGAACACAAATTCTAGAAAAACTCTTACTAGATTTTACATGTAGTCCATTCTCAGAAGCAGTAAACTATTAATAATTTTACCTAAAATTTTATTAAACTTTTAAAAATTTTACCTCATCCAAACAGTTAACACGAACATTCTTACTGGCTAATAGTGTTCCAGCTTCTTGGATAGTACCTTAAAAAATAAAAATAAAAAGTTAAAAAAAGTAAGGTTATTTTATCATTAGAATAGAAAATAAAAATCTAACATCGAGGAAACAAATTAAAGGGTTATCTGTAAAACTAAAACTAGTCAGGTTAGGTTGTTGGGAAATAAAGTATCAATCACATACTATTTATTCCACAAAGTAATTATCCAGAATAAAAGATTTATAGAAACTACAATAGCTCCACTGACCTTAGAGTATATTAAATTGGCCACATTTTCCTTTTGTCAGTAATACAATAACCACAAAGCATAAAACTCTCAATACTGAAACAAATTTTAAAGGGCACCTAGTCCAACCGTCATTAAAGCTTAAATACCAGTCAATGTAATAACTGGTGTTCCAAATACAGCCAATATTTATATACTTTGTCACCATTAGGCCCTGTGAATTGATGGCATGCTTATAATAGAATTCTTGGTTTGGAAATGCTTAGGTAAACATATCTTTAAAGCCTGGTACTATATAAAGGTGCCCTGTGGTCAGTTTCAAACTCTCATACTGAAGTCCTCTGATGTAATCCTGAAGGTCAGTTCTCTGTAAATTTAAAAATCAGCTGTAATTGGGCCACAACTGTCAGGTTTTTCCAGTCTTCTGTGAGGCACACTGATAGAAGCAAGTAGCTGCAGGAGAGAATGCTATTATCATCATTAACGAGAGTCAGCCACAGGTTCTGCCAAAACAATTCTGGTTTGACTAGGAAGAGAACAATAAAATGAATGTTCTCAGGGAGAAAGGATGAGAGGAGCCTCTCCTCTAAAAGAGCATAAAACAGGAGCACCCCCAACTAGGAGTTATTTTCTTCTCTTTAAATTTAAAATTATAGTTCAAGAATGTGCTAAATTCTGCTAGTCTTCCAGTTAAAGGTGGAATGCAGACTAAAGATAAGCATGCTTCTTTCTCCCTGACCTGCTTCTTAGGCAAGTCATCTGGTTGCTTCTCACCAACCTGGAATAGACAGAGAGATGTCTCCTAGATTGAAAGAGAAATAGCTGTGCTGAAGAAATGTCAAGTGAATGATCTCCAAATCCCTGAATTGTGACAGCAGCTATTCTGTAAATAGTAGGTTGTGTGACCCTGTACCCTATCTGCAATGCTACAGGATGAGAGGGAAAAGCCTTCAAGCATGTGAGCAGCATGGAACCTTACCTATACCTGTGGCTTCTTACCAGAGACTTTCTCACAAACATCTGTAGAGTGGAATTAAAACAGAACAAAAACTCCCACACCTCAATTTCACTTGAAGATGCTCCAGCTGAATCCCACTGTCCTCCAATGAATAACTAAAGTTATTTTCCATCTGATCAGGAGATGATTATGCAGTAAAGGAAGAATACTACAGGGATTATGAGCATGTCAAGGCCTGCTACCGTTAGGGAAGGATAAAGATTATAAACATTTGGCTCACATTAAAGAACAGACCAGCGATTCTATAAACTGTTTAGCCCAATGGCCAATAAGCTAAGTTAAATCTGTCCTGTTAGGAAGCAATTAAAAATAATTCAATAAAAGGTGATGCACGCACATACATACCACTGCATACCAGTTGGTCTTTTGAAATGCAGGGACCAGGATGAGAAATTTTTTTCTGATATGGTTTTGGCTTATAGAGAATGAAAACATATCTTGGGAAATAGATGAGCAAAATCTCCAAAGAGGAAAAATGTGATGATTTCTAATTTGGTGGTCCTAATTTAATGACATTAGTAGGAAACCAGTGATAGTCTAGAATAGCACAAAAATGTGAAACACAGGGCTCATACAGAAGGATTTTTACTTTTTTCATTCATTAATGTCCACAGTAGACTCTCAAACAATATTTTGCAATTGCTTTACTCTTGGAAAGAAATATATTAAATCTGATTTAACACTCTTAAGATGGGGGGATACATTACTACAAGGGAGATGTGAAATGAACCAACAATTATCTTCAATGGAGCCCAATCGGTGTGCCTCAGTGGTTGAGCATCAACCCATGCACCAAGAGGTCGCCAGTTGGATTCCCGGTCAGGGCACATGCCCAGGTTGTGAGCCAAATCCCCAGTGGGGGATTAGGGACATGCAGGAGGTGGCCAATCAATGTTCTCTCTCATCGATGTTTCTAACCCTCTCTCCCTCTCCCTTCCTCTCTCTAAAATCAATAACAAAAAAATATTTTTAATTATCTTTTATAGAGATAAAAATTAACAGACTTTTAACTGATGGAAGTAATATTTAATGATTTGTTTTCCTTTTGAGAATTTTTCCAAGTTGCTCAACCAAAGAAAACACAACCCAACCTGCCTCATTAGGGTGGACCTAATCAACTTTAGATAGACCAGCATTTTAGCAGAGAAGAGATGATGCTAATAGTTATGTTCTCGCTGTTATTGCCCTGTCTTCTACCTCACTACAGGACTGCTGTGAAACTGAACAACTCCTCCGAAGTGCTCTATTTTCTCATCTGTTAAGCAGAGTAGTAGTATCCATCCATGGGTTTCAGAAGAGGACTAAGGTCTTGTCCTAATGCCAAGCCCAGAGTACGCCTACAGTACATATTAGATGTTCTTGTTATTTTATATTCAGAGCAGCGCAATATAATTCATTCTCATATTTCTAACATCTAGATTGGGACCATTGATCACTTACTGAAGACAGGCAGATGTAGCCAAAAAGGGAGAAACAAAACAATGTTTGACATTTCTGTTCCTAGCAATCCATCAGATAACTATGAGATTTGGGTATGTATGGTTTTCAATCATTTAGTGGGATCCTCCAAAAGGGATGTTTGAAGGAATCTATTCAAGTTAAGTGTTTAAAATACTATTGCTATTGTTAGTTGCTATAATATGTACACATAGTAAAATCATGCATAAAATATTTAACATGTCTAATTTTTTTTTTTATCCTCACCCGAGGACATTTTTCCATTTTTTGTTCAGATAGAGTGGGAGGGAGAGAGAGAGAGAGAGAAACATCGACATGAAAGGAACACATCGAGTGGCTGCCACCCGCACAACCAACTAGGGCCGGGGACAAACTGCAACCAAGGTACATGCCCTTAGCGAGAACCTAACCCGGGTCTCTCTGGACCACAGGCCAACGCTCTAACCGCGGAGCCAAACCGGCCAGGGCAACATGTCTAAATTTTTAAAATAACAATATATGGGTTTAGATTTAATTATAGATATATAGCCATAAATATATTTTAAAAGTAGGGACTTCTAACTATAACATATTTTGAAATAGTAAATTTAAGTGTGAAGTTTCTACAAGTTCTCCTACTTGTATCTATCTTTAGACTTTGTAATAAAATGGCCTTACTGATTTTTTTTTTAGAGAGAGTGAGGAAGGGAGAAGGAGAGAGAGAGAGACAGAAACATTGATGAAAAAGAACATCAATTGGCCGCCTCCTGTAGACCCCCGCACTAGGGATAAGGCCCACAACCTGGGCATGTGCCCTGGCCAGTAATCAAACCGGCGATCTCTTGGTGGCATGGGTTGACTCTCAACTACTGAGCCACATCAGCTGGGCATAACAAAATGGCCTTAAATTGGATTATGAATCACTACCTAAAAATCAAAGTATATAACGAGCTATTTTGTAAATGAAGACAATAAAGCCCATAGAGGTTGCATAACCTGTTCATCATTGAGTTAATGGTAACTATATATTTAAGTTAATTGTGTGTTTGAACTCTATACTATAATTATTAGTAGGCCTGAATCTCCCTAAACCATAAAGATACTAGAAATAATAATATTTACTACAAAGGAGCTTAGAGTAGGATCTTCTTTTAACAGTCCAAAACTGGGAACTGAAATGTCCGTCGAAGTGAACAGATAAGCAAATAGTGGTATATCCATACAAGGAAAATAAAAGAAGATAATAAGAAACAGACTATTGGTATAGCATAGATGAACCTCAAAATCATGATGCTAAATGAAAGTCATGGGAGGAAAATGGAATATTTACTGCATGATTCTACTTATATAAAATTCTAGAATAGAGAAATGTAATCAATAGAGACAGAAACCTATCATTGGTTGCCTGGAGACAGTGGTGGAGGAAGTGAAAGATTTTAAAAAGGCATAAAGGATTGTGGTGATTGAACTGTTCCTTATCTGAACTGTAATGATGGTTTCATGGATGTATACTTAAGTCAAAAACTGATTTTAAAAAGTATACAGTTTAAAAGTATACACTTATCATACTTTAATCATACCTCAATAAAGCTGGTAGAATAAACTTTATTATCCAAGCCTGTTTCATACACAGATAATGAAAAAAACACTGCTCTCGTTAAGTCAGCAACAGTGATTCCTGGGATTTTAAGTACTACACAGGGTAAATAAATGGAAGATCTGGTTTATATCCTAAAGGACGAACTTAATTTATTTTGAAATAGTGCTTCCTCCGTGCTTAAGGAAAAAGAAATTAGAAGTTAGAAGAATAGGTCAATCTATAAGTCATATAAGCAGTTCAGTGTGCTTCAGTGACTTTAATTTTCTCTTCCTGAAGGTTGCAAAATGGATGTTGTCGTTAACTATGATTTAAAGGGATACATAGGAAATAGCTTCTCAGTTTCATCTGGAACTTCTTGGCATTCTAACAAATAGAGTCTGAAGAATATCTAGCATGTGAATTCACTCCAAAGAAGAAATTGTTCTAAGTGTCCAGAGGCACTGCGGTATTCTCTGACTGTAAGTCCCTCTTACAGTCTGCTTAGTTTCTGGAGGGCAGTGATTGACGGAAGACACTAAAAAATTGTGGAGTTTATTTCACATTGTCCAAGATAAGAGGTGGCACTTGGCTAAAAATGTAGTTAGTACCACGTACCAGTACTGACTTATCTAGTGCTTTTCAAAGTTGAGAAATGTAGTAAAGAAGAAAAAAATTTAAAACAGCCACTTCCTTTAAAAATGCTTTTAATGAGTACAAATATAAACTTCCCTTATGACCTTTATTCAACTACAAACCAGAAAATTATTTTATAAATTAAATGTACTAAAAACTATAAAATCAATAACATTTAAAGTTAAAATTAACTTGACAGATTATAGTTTTGCTTACATTGCCTCTCAAAGTGAATATGGTATGGCTTGCTACTGTGCTGGTTTCACTTTTTGTTTAGTTTGTTTTCAAGTCCAGCATATTTCTAGGACTATGGATCATATAATACTTCTGCTCTATCACTCACTACCTATATAACATTAGGCAAGTTATCTAATTTCTCAGTTCCTTGGTTTTCTTGTCTATAAACGGAAATAACCATATTGACCATAATAACAGCCAACACAAATATTATCTTAAATGCTTTACATATACTAATTCATTTCATCCTCACACTAATGTGAGGTGGATACCACTTTTTTTTTTTTCACGTGGAGAACCTGATGCTCAAAAACAGTAACTCACCTGAGGCCACATCACCAGCAAACGACTGAGGTAAAATTCCAAATCAGACCTGCAAGTCAACCACCATCCCATGCTGTCTCTCATAATGTTATAGTTTAAAATAATTCCTAGCTCATCAAGATTAAACGCATCAGTACATTGTAAAGAGTTACTACTTATGTCTGACTCATATTAACATTCAGTGAAGGTTGGCTCTAGTACTTTTCTCATATCGCCCATTACTTTTGAGAGTACAGTGATGCCCCACGGGCCTTACCAAGTCCAGCTCACTTTCCCATCTGCTTGGGCCGACAGAATAGGTGAAACAGCGTCTGTGCACCTTCGCAAATACCACAGTACTAACCCGATTAAATTCACGTTTATTCTCTTTTGTTTAATCTTTAAAATAAAAACTAGTAGACACCTAAAAACATATCCAAGGATCCCCCACCACCTGCCCCTTGCAGAGATCCACTTTACAAAACTGCTCGCTTGTTCAGACTTCTGAGGGAACGCGATAGCCGTGGACTTAAAACAAAGTCTGTGTCCCCAGTGGACGGGTCATGAGCTGATCTCTGTCTCCGTGCCCAGCACAGTGCCTGGCACATGGGCGGGACTCGCATGTTTGCTGAACCGAGACCCAGACCAAGCACAAAGGCAGGGGAACAGTTTACCCAGAGGCAGTCGGAACAGAAAGGCTGCAGCGCCAAATAGGTCAGTGAGAACCGTGCCGAACAAACGATAAAAGCACCAACCCCAAGTCCCACAATTCTCGGCAAGGAACACTTATTATAAGCACAGTTGTGACTGACTTAAAATGGGATCGGACGGGGTGGGCTCACTTCATCAGCACCTGTCGAGCTCAAATCCGATCGTTTTCCCTCTCGTTTACAGTTAGAGTTCCCTGGTCGGTATGAAGGATAACTGGCCACTCTCTGGAGAACCAGCTTCGAACCTGACCCCTTGGGAAGAAGACGGGAACTGGGGCGCCTGTATGCTTCAACGACTGGCCTCCCTGCCGCTCGAGGACACACGTGGCGGCTTCATTCTTGAGCTTAAAACCACACGAACGGGGCCCGCAGCGCCAAGCAGCCGCACCCCGGCGCCGCGACGGCCCAGGGGACGCTAGGTAGTCCCGCTGAGGTCACCTGCCAGGTAACGGGACTCGGCAGGGCACTGGGCTGGGACGTCCACTAGGGAGTGAGGGGAAAACATGGCTTCTGGCTGGTCCCCGGGGCCTGCGTCGCCCTCCCGACTCCCTCCCGACGGCGCCGAGCGGCGGAAGCGGGACAAGTGTCGGGAGGGTGGAAGGGGACGCGCGGAAGAGCGCAGTGGAGCGGAGTGCGCCGAGGCGGGGGCGCCCCGAAAGTCCCCCTCGCTTCCCCAAGGGTTCCTGGGAGGAAGCCTCAGAGGGGCCCACCCTTCTCCTCAGGAGCTCCCTCCACCCCCGGCGGGGGCGGGGACGGCCAGGGAATCCAGATCTTTCGGCCTCCGGAAGTCGAAATGGCCCTTTCGACACCGGTCTAAGAATCTGGAACTACCAGGCCACGGTCGCCAAGACGGCCCGCGGTCCAAATCACCTCAGGGGTGTGGACGAATGCACACCCCGGAACCCACACCCCGGGGTCGCCCACGATCCTCTCGGCCGGGGCCTGGAAATGTGTCGCTTTCCAAAAGCCGATTTAGAGGACGAACCTCCGCCGCCTCCGCTCCGGTCCCAGCAGTGCTTGTCCCTCCCCACCTCCCCGCCCCCAAACCGGCCCTCCATCAAAGGGAAAAAACGCTATTTCCCGCTCCTCGCAGAATCGCGATCAGCAGAACTGCAGTCGGTCGGGGGTCAGGCGCCTCCGGGCCCCGCCACGCCCCCCGGGCGAGGCTGGCAGCAGACGCAGCCCAGCACCCATACCTTTTCCGATGACTTCCAGCAGCGCCTTTTCCTCCTGGGACAGCTCGCCTTTCTTTATGTGAACCATTGCTCCCGCCAGCTTGAAGGTTATTCTTTTTCTTTGGAAGTGTTAAAAGGAAACGATGTGTCTGTGTTTAGGGACGCTCGCCGCAGTGGGGCACCTCGAGACCAGAACCCCGCGGAAGCGTTCGAATTCTCTCCTTTCTCCCGCGGGCTGGCGAGCAGCCGGCGAGCCCCAGCGAGCCGGGAGGGCGGTCTCGGAAGGCTCAGCGGCAGTCACCGCCCCCCGTGCGTCATTGGCCCAGCCAGTAGGAGGAGCTGCAGGAGGCAGCAGCCAAAGACTCCCATTGGATCAGCCTGGGAGGAAAAAACTAAATGTCAAAAACCAAAGGGGGAAGTTAAGTTCCTCTTAGACGTTTCCCCCACTCTCCTCCTGTCCAATTAAGATCTTTGAGAACATGCGATATTTAAATCATCCACTTTTCAGTTCTTTGTCTGACGATGGCTGCCTGGGATTTGCAGAGGTGTCTGGCTCTCGCTACCTCCCACCCCCCGCTATTTCCTCAGGAGTGGTGCGGCCCCAGCCGGGGGCGGGCTGGGGGGCGGGCTGGGGCGGGGCGGGAGGCGGGGCTGCGCCGGGATCCGTGTGTCTATGTCAATGTGTCTGTCCTTCACTCCTCCATTGTCTGCCGCCGCTACTGCTACCGCTGCTGCTGCCGCTGCCGGAATCGCCGCAGCTCCCAGCCTCGCGCGTCGCCGCTACCTTCTTGGACAGGTGAGAAGCAACCCAGGTGGGGCAGGGGGAGCAGAAAGGGCTGCGGGAACCGCGTCCGTCGCCACGCCGGGGGCTTCCACTCGGGCCGGAGCTGACTAGGAGGAAGCATGTGCCTGCTGGGGCGGCTTCCTGCTTCTCCGTGGGGTAGCATCCCCTCCACCCCATTAACCTCGCCTACCGCGCATCAGTGCCTAGGAGTCAAGACCCCGCCACTCGTCACATTTGGCCGCCTGAGGAGACCCTGGGACCACGAACGGGCGGGGGCCGGCCACGCGGTGGGAAGTGGCGGGTGCACATCGTCTCGTGCATGGTACCGCCAGATGCGGCTCCCGGAGGCCGGGGCTGAGACTCCGAGCTGGGGTCGGGGTGGGTAGGGAGAAGGTAATTATCTTTTGGCAAGCCTCCCCTCACCACCACCATGCGCACACACACTACTTGTCATCTCTTCTGGCCTCTGTGGAAGCTGTAGAAGAAAACCGGGTCTGATTCGCCCTGGGGTGCCTGTTAAGGATGTTTGGAAGCAATTCACACTTGCATTAATACTTCGTTTATGAGAGAGGGCCTAGTGGGAGGGGGGAGGAAGGGCCTTACCGCTCTGCTGTAGTTCCCAGTCTTTTTGTAACTCTGATCTTGAGATTTGTGGAAATAGGGAGGAAAGAGGAAGAGGGCTGAGATTAAATTGGTGTTGCTGCTTATATATAGTTTTACATCAGCCTCTTAATCCAACCTTCAACTGTAATATATAGCCTGAAGCTTTGACCACAGGGTAGCTAGGGGGTTAAATACAAGTGTGTACCTTCTTGTGGCTCAGAAGCAAGACTTGCTTGCTACTGTGAAGTAAGTCATCCTTACAAGGCTCACATCCGGAACATATTTACAGCATCAATAAAGGCTTCTTTAGAAATCAGTGTGTACGTTATACTGTTGTTTCTCTACAGACTAGTATTGATATTTCTCCCAAGACCCATCTGCTTCAGAGAGAAATATTTGAATAATTATCTGGTTGGTTTTTGTTAAGCATCCCCACCACTCTTTCTCCCCACAGTGCTGTATATGAAGTGAAATGCATTTGCCTCTGGCCTTGCGCCTTCACTTCTGACATCCTGGAAGATGTTCATCATTATTTCCTGCCTTTAACGAAAATCTTTCTTAAACCCAAGCTATTTTCTTTTTGAAGGCATCTTCACTTTACAGGCTGGGGCAGATCTGAACCAGAACATCTCACATGAAAACGGTTTGAAATTATTCATCTCAATGTATAACAAAGAAACTTTTGTTTGATGATGCTTTAATAATGATGTGGCTGTTCAAACAGCATGTAGTAAGATTTTTGAGAGTGAACAATCTTTTGTAACACTTAAAATGCTGTTACTGCCACAGTCTCGATTGATTTTAAACATGGTATCATACAGAAGGAACCCACCTGAAAAAAATGCTTGTAGAGTTAACCTCCCTAATAATGTGACTTAACATCATACAGCAAATGCATGCCCAGAATTGGGTACCTCATTGCCAGTATTTCCACCTCTTCTGCCAAATCTGGGCCATGGTTACTTGAAGGTCACACCTGTTTGTCTCACTGAAGTTGTCAGTTCCTCGAGGATAGTGACTTACTATTATTTCTTGGTGCCTTGTGGCACCTGGTTTGTATTTTGCAGCCCTCTGTATATACCTGACTTCAGTAAAAATGTATATAGAGTCAACGGCATTTAAAGACAAAAAACTAACATCTACCTAGAAATGCAGATAAATAATGTTAAATTTAAATTTCTAGAAACAGATATGTAATGGATAGTGTTCATCAGATAGATTACATTAATCGTTTTGTACAGTGTAAATATTTAATATAGGAATAAGATTAGCTAATGAGCATACCTTAAACTAGATCAAGGAACTTTTGTTATACTAAGAAAATAAATGTTGTTGATAATAAAATAGCTACTACTTATTGATTATTTAGTCTGTGCCAGGTATTCTACCACATGCTCTGTGTAGGGTTCTTTTAATTGTTACAGCGACCCAGGAATTACCCAATATTATCTCTTTCCACAAATAAGAGGACAGAAACTAAAAGAAATTAATTTTTCCATGTCCCACAGTTAGGAAGAGTCAGAGCTAGAATGGAACCTAGATTTGTCTCTAAAACCTTTTCTCTTTTCCCAATTTTCTGCCTGTGTGCTGACAGTAAGGAAGAAATAATATATTATTTTAACTAGCTAATAGATTGTCATGTGGTTCAGCATACGAAAGGGACATAAGTCTCTCGGCTTCCTCTCTCCCAATCCCTTTTCCATGCCCTACAACCAGTGGTATCTATTTCTCTCTTATCCTTCCTGCAGTATTTTGTGTTTATAGCTTATATGTATATTTTCTCTTTTTTTACAGAAGTGGGATTATACTAACACTGTTCCACATTGTGTAATACAATTTTTTTTTTTATCCTCACCCGAGGCCATTTTTTCATTTTTTTTTGTTGAGATAGAGTGGGAGGGAGAGAGAGGAAGAGAAAGAGAGAAACACTGATGTGAAAAGGACACATCAAGTGACTGCCTCCCGCACGACCCAAGGGGGGGGGGGGGACAAACTGCAACCAAGGTACATGCTCTTAGTGGAAACCGAACCCGGGTCTCTCTGGATCACAGACCGATGCTCTAATCACTGAGCCAAACTGGCCAGGGCTGTGTACTATAATTTATATGATGCTTCGGTCTCTCTTCTGTTTCTTTTTTCCTATGATTTCTAAAATTATAATGATTTCTAAAATTTCTGAAATATCCCCTCATCTCTTTTCTACAACTGTCACTCTAGACCTCTCCTGGCCTATTGCAATTGATCCCTAAGTAGTGTCCTCTCTCACCTTACCCCATCCAGCTCATTCTGGGCACCCATCATCCACCCAAGGGTAAGACATACTCTAAAGACAGAACTGATTCAGTTAAAACGTGTGGATTGCTTTTCCCTGGGCACAGAATAGAGACTCAGTTCTGTCCTGGAAGGCTCCAACTTCTGGTCCTAGCAAGCATTTCCAGTTAGCCAGCCCCACCCACACACTCTGCTGTAAGGTCACCACACTGCTGGTTCCCTAACGTGCCAGTGATTTCCACCCATTTGTTTCTACTTTTCTCTTCCTGGAATGTCCTCTTTTCCCTCTTCTCTGAGTCTCTCTCCTCTCCAGATCTGAAGGACTGTTCAGTTTTCAAAATACTACTTACATGTAACCTCTTCTCCCCAGTTTCATAATCATCTCTCCCACCCCATCCACTGAGGGGGTAATGCCATTGAACACATTTATTCATGTCCCTCAGCTAGGAAGATAAGGAAGATCTTCAGACAGGAGTTGATGGTACAATTCTTAACATTCTCTACATTTCTCTCCTATCTGATGGCCTCTGGTGCCCCCCCACCCCCGCCAATGCTTTTTCATTTGAATTCCCATGAAAGTACCTAAAGCAGGTACCTTTTTCATGACATTCTATTATAACCATGTTAATCTGTTGGACTGCCTTCTCCTTCTAGACTATAAATTAACCAGGACTAATTTACCTTTGTCTATCAACAATGTAACCCATTGTCTTGTGTCTACTGTAGGCTCAGTAAATGCTGAGTTGAATTCAGTTTTATCTCTAAGTTATTTTAAGTGGACTTGTTTCCCTACTTGACTAATTCTTCCTGGAACAGTGAGGTGATTGTGGCACAATCACACAATCATAGCCAAGGGCAGAAGTTCTTTAAAAGTTTTCAGTCTCAAGCTGTTTGATATTCTGATGAATGCTACCAATCAAGAAAAAATTTTTTCATACGCACATGTTACAAATTTTGCATACTATTCTTGAATTCCCCCCTTAAAGCCCCTGACATCCAGCTCTCTGCTATAAGAGAATACTGTTTCCTTTTCATTGAAAGGGAATAGCTCATTTCTTAGTGTTCTATCTTTTGAAGTAATGTTTTTCTTGACACTTGACTTTCTTTTCTTAGACTTAGGTACATCTCTTGAGTGACTGGATATTGGATGATATTAAGGAATTTTATTTTCTTTTAGGTATGAAAGTAATATTGTGGTTATATTTTCAAAACACCCATTATCTTTTAAGAGATATGTACTGAATTATTTAAGGAGGGAATGATGTGACATCTGAGATTTGCTTCAACAGAATTCTGTAACAGTGGGGGACAGAGACAAGTAAGAGTATAAATGAGACACCACTGACTACCACTGAAGCTGGGCAATAAATACACTGACTTCATTATATTGCTCTCTCTACATTTGGATATGGTTGAAATTTTCCACAATGAAGTTTTTAAAGTAAAATTTGCAAGTATTATAGCCTCTAAAAAATTGTTGTGGTGGTTTTTTAACAAAACATAAGAAAGTAATTTGAATACAAATGCACTTTCTCTGTAGTTCAAGTTTAGCTTATGCAATTCTTCATTTAAATGTTAAAACAGTTACACCTAAATCTACAAGAGACTATCTTGTGAACAGTGCATTTC